AAGGCACACCGAAATGTGCTGTTTGCCAGCAGCGGGTACTTCAAGATGCTCCTTTCGCAGAGCTCCAAGGACACGAGCCAGCCAACTGTAGCCACCTTCGAGGTCTTCTCTCCAGAGACGTTTATGGTTATCCTGGACTTTGTGTACTCAGGAATATTGCCCCTCACGGGGCAAAACGTGATAGAGGTCATGTCAGCAGCCAGCTACCTGCAGATGACAGACATCCTCAATGTCTGTAAGACGTTCATTAAGTCGTCTCTGGATATTAACGAGAAGGAGAAGGATCACTACCTGGGCCTTTCAGCCAAAGGCACAAACAGTGAACCCGCTCATGCATCGCTTTATCGTTCAAGGAGGAAAGCAAAGAGCAACCCAAGGCGCTCCTATTCCGTTCCAGACGAAAAGGCAGATGTGGTGAATGAGAATTCCTGGAGCAGTTACAGCACTTATCTGTCCTCACAGGTGATCCTTCAGCGGGCGGAAACGCAGCTCTCAAAGAGGGGCAGAAAGCAGGGCTCGGCCAGGAAGCGCCGGAAGCACTTGGGGCTGTCACAGACACGTGAATTTGTGCAGTGCAGAGCGAGTAAAGCTGAGCGGGCTGAGGGTTGTAATGCATCAGATTGCAGCCACAACTCTCGAGCTAAAGAGGAGGCTGAATTTGATGCCGAGAATGACGTTGATCGCGATGATGATGGATATGATCAGGAATCAGGAGTGACACCCAAGAGGTGGTCTGTTGCTCAGCTGGAAGAACTGTCGCAAACTTCTGAGTTCATGGAATTAAAAGCAGAAGAACTGTACAGCTCAGTGCCCACAGTGTTAGGTGTTATGAGTAGTTGGAATGAAGGTAAACAGTACATTTGATTTTGCAAAGTTTGTCGTTACTTAGAGGAAGTGAGATGAGAGAATTTCATAAGCTCTAACTGATGCCCCGTTGATTGTTTTCTTGATCTGCTCCGTTGTAGTGCCTAGCGGAATGTAAGGCTCGAAAGCGAGAACAAGGGGTGAGAATTAGAATCAGAGCCTGACCCAGGTGTTGTGTAGGGTTAAAATAAGACCTGCCTGATTATTTGGCCCCAGATGGAGCTGAACAAAGCTTGGAGAGCTGCAGTTGACTCGGAGCTGAGGGACTGAATCACTCTTGTGGTTTCTCTGCTCTCGTGTCATTGGAGCAATGCTGCATTTCCTGTGAGGTCCAACCCAAAACTTGGAGATAGTTTGGTCACACTACATAAAATGTCTCAGCTCCTGATGAACTGACAGCAGTTCATCAACTGGTGGTTTACAGATGTATGTGCACGTTGTCTTGGAAACTAACTTAGCATGCCTACAGCTTATTACAGTGGCACAAGGTTGTGATGTTACGCATCCTGATACATCGCAGAGATGGTAAATATTTATGAAATACTACTTGCTGAAAGAGATGACACTGTATAATGTACTTAAATACTCATGATCATACATTTATCTAAGAAACACATGGAGTAAGACAGAACACACCATCAAATCCCAAGTATACTCAGTGAATAATTAGTAGCTTTTGGGAGGGAATTATAGGTTTGGATTTTTTCTGTTCAGTGACAAACCAAAGGAAAAATGAACTGCTGCTCATTTAAGCTTAGAAATAGCAGAACGATTACAAAAAGCCACTGATGCACGAGCTGTGTTCCCCCTTAACAGATGCCCTGCCTCGCCTGCGCTTCAAGTGCCCGTTCTGCACGCACACGGTGAAGCGCCGCGCTGACCTGAAGCGCCACCTGCGGTGCCACACCGGTGAGCGGCCGTACCCGTGCGAGGCGTGCGGGAAGAGGTTCACCCGGCTGGAGCACCTGCGGAACCACTTCCAGACGGTACGGCAGCTCGGGGCCTGGGGAAAAGCGCGGGGTTCCATTGGTGCTGCTGCTCAGCCATCGCTAGGGGCAGCGCCACCACAGCTTCAGTTATTTAAGTTGGCAAACTTCTTTACTTTTTAGAACGGCTCAGTGATGTGTTTATTTTTGATGGTAGCGTTACCGGACGAACGCTGACACTGTCAAATTCTAAACCTCTTTAGATACATCAAGCCGGCAAACTCATCTGCAGGAAGTGCAAGCGCCAGGTGAGCGAGCAGACGGGCTGCGTTGTGCAGCAGGGAACGCGGCGCTACAGGCTGTGCCACAAATGTCTGACAGGGAGCAGCCCGGAGGGCAGCCCTGAAGGAGCGGGCGCAGAGCACTGCCCTGCCAGCTCCGTGGGGAGCAAACATTCCAAGTGGGCTTTGGAGGAGGATCAGAGGTCGGATGGTGACACAGCGGAGGAGGAGCCGTACGATTTGGTTGTCCGACGTGGTGCCGATGGCACCGCAGGCGAGGCGGATGAAAAGGTGAAGCCAAATCTTAGGTAGATAATTTGTATATTCGTTACTGCCGCATTCAAGATTAAACTGCTCGCGTTCTACCAGCTAATTCTGGTTTGTCAGCTTCATTAATATTAAATGCTGCTAAAATTCTGTTGCAAGGAGCAAAACGTGGACTCCAAACACCTTGGTTTGTGCTGGTGAACACCCAGCAGCTCCTGAACATCACCCAGCAGCCACCTACTGCCTGCAACCTGCTAAGGAGCATTGCTCTGCACTGTGATAAAGCTTTACTCAGAGCTTCTGTTCACAGTGCAAATATAAACCCTTCTACAAGGAAGGTGCTCTGGTGTACAGATTAAAAACAAACGAGCAAGCAGCTATGGATAATTTGCTTTGGGAAAGTCTTACAAAAGTAAGCATCTAAGAAGTGTAAAACATTTTTGTTGCCAGCATAATTAACGCATATATACGCTTAGGAAGTTTCTTAAAAAGGAGTGAGAAAAACGGAATCGTTCCCGCTCTCGTTTTAAAGGGTTGTGCAGGAGGAACAGCCGCCCCCCCACAGCTCTGCCTGCTACGGCCCGCGGCGCCGTCGCCTCAGGCTCTGTGGAAGGCAGCCTCGCACTCGACGCCTGATTGGCTATTCCCAGTCACCTGACCCGGCTAGCCAATGAGGTGGCGAAGCGGCCGCTGAAGCCCGGGGCGGTGGCAGTGCGTTTTCCCGCCAACCGCTGCGCTCTGGGGGCTTCGCCAAGGGGCGGGGCGGCGCAGGGCCGGGCCTCGCTCCTTCCTCACAGCCCGGCACCGGGGAGCCCCGGGGTTCGTCCTGAGTGAAAATCCTCGCTTCTGTACACTTGGCAAACGAATGCATCTCCAACCTTATTTAAAGGAGGGTTTTCTCACCGTAGTGGAGAACAAAGCATAAATACAATTGATTAAACTCAAACACCAGCAGCAAAAATTACTCACACAGAAGATCTTCCAGTCAACAGATTTTATTTTATCCCTTTAAAACCTGATTTAAAATGACTTTACAACAAAACAGAGGTGAGGCACTCAGGTTTAGCACAGGGCAGACCCCCCCACCCCCAAGGCACTGCTGCTGAGATCTGACACAGCTGGCTCTCATTTGTGTTTAATTGTCCTTTCTGAAAGAACAAAAGGAAGCAGATCCAAACTGCCTTCTAAAAGAGGAGATTCTGCTCTCACAAGGCTTAGATAGGAGCAGACCTGCAGAGAATCGACCAACCTCTTTTTTCAGCGCCAACAAAAGCTGTCTCTACTTTTCCCAGCCATAACATGCTGCAAGGATTCCATTGCAGTTAAGGTTGGAAATGTATTTATGGTAAATCAGCACCACCTGGTGGTGTGACAAAGTTCTCAGAAGAATTTTATTTTTTTTCCAATAATTGCTGTACTTCCTCAGGAGTCCTTCAAACAGAAACTTTCCTGACCCTCTGCAGGTACCTTGGAAACTTTAGATTATATAAAGAGGGACGTCAGCTCATAGCTGCCATAGTTAAATTTTCACATGAAATCACATAGGTCAACACTTCCCTGCCACCCAACAGAAAGGCAGTGCGTTAGCGGTTCCACTGATTTCTTTATTTACTTCATACACTGCCTTAAAAGCCAACCACCAGCGCTCCTAAGGGACTTCCATGCCCTACAGCTCTCATCTCAGATCCCCCAGACACAACTGCTTCTGTCCTGGCAGGCTGGCATTGGTCTGGCTCACCATCTTCGCACCAAAGTACAGGATAGCATTCCCCACAACTCTTCTATTTATGATTTGAACAAGCCAATTCCTTAGCCACTTCCCGGGGGTTACAGTTCTGAAGAGAATTTGCCAGCCACTGACAAGCATCCGCTTCGTTAAACTTGTTTTAAATATCAATGATGACAAAGACTTCTGGCTTTTCTTCTTCACAGATCTGCATTGCTGAATAAGTTATGGCTTTGACCTCTGTGCCCTAGAGTGAAAAGACACAAAGGCACAAAAGTTTTCAACATGATACCTTGTAGCACTTTGTAACGATACATCATATTTACCACTTTCTACAAATGTCAGGCAGTTTTTCTCCCCCAGATGTTTTAAGTGTGTTTGTTCTAAATGTTCTGTTTGGCCAAGCTAAGTGGGAATTACAGAATTCCCCTCCACTCCCCTCTTCCTTTATTTTATTGCTTCCTGAATACTACAAATTTTTCTTCTTATCTGTGACATACCATCAACATTCGATATTTGAATTTGACATACCTAAGTGGCATTCTAAAATGTAAAGACTTGCATGTAATTCTTCTGAGAGTGGAGGGGGAAAGCAGAATGGGACTAAGCAAGAAGCTGTGGTAACAGTATGAGAACCAAACCCATGTAAAGATTCTGACTGTAAACTGGCTCTTTTTTTAATCACACATCACAAAAAAGGAAGCCAACTGCTGAATTTGCCCTCGTGGAGAAAGCATCAGCTCAACAGTTCAGAAGTGCATTCACAGAAAACTGCAGGAAGTGAGATCTTAAGTTAATAGTGTGATACCATTCAGACATGTTTATACTTGGATTTCTTGAGAACTTAGGAGTTTTGATTTAGAAGGATCCACTCTTCCTGTCCTACCCTAAAACATAAGCAATATATAGATGAACTGCGGCGTACCTGGGGGTGCTTTGGTAAAGAGAACTCTTCTCCCCACCTTTAAAGGCAAAAAGAAAAGAGAAGGTTGTACTGTTAATATTTAATCAAACATTACAGTTAGTTTCACTGATGAGCATTAGACAGTTAGACTTAAATTAAAACCTCAAATGATAAGAGCTCCTTTTTAGAAAGTATCTGTGATGTCCAGCACATCACAATATTTCATAGTGGTGACTTGGAGGGCAGTATTTGTCATCAGTGGAAGATATTAATTACTCAATTGATCCTATGAACTCACCCAATTGATCTTATTTTGAATTGCATTCGGTCAATGTAAAGCACTTTCACCTCCTGCAGAGAAAACAAGTGGAAAAGTGTGTCACCAACTTCTACCTTCAGGCACTAAATCTCATTAACAAGAACATTCCACAGTTTAAATGAAATCTAAACCCAGAAAACTGGAGTATGCTCAAATACATACAGGACTGCTAATGACTACGCCTACTGACTGGAGTTTGTGGAAACAAAGCTAAGTGTTTGCTTCTCAGCTCTTTGTGCTTTTGTGTCTTATTCTCTTGCTTCATCAAAGTGATCTACTGAGTCCCTTTTTCTTCCTAAAAGGACACTGCATTCAAAAGTGGCTTATCAGAGAAAAGCTTTGCCCTACAAAATGGAAATAGAACAAAAACACGGCACTTACCCTGGGTATAAAGAACTCATTAGCACTGAATTTATACAACCACTCATCCAAGAAGTGGAAGAGAAGGGACAACATATCATGTCCTGCATGGTTGAAGCAGAGAAGGCAGTCAGCTGATTGTCCCAGCAAGAACACCCAAACATTTAACATATTTATGTGCATAGCAGCCACACAGCTCCTGCATTACTGTAAGATTCAGATTACCAATCTTTAATTGAATTATAATTAACTACTACAAAGCTACATCCAAAGACTCAGATGTTGGTATGCTCCACCAGCAGGGTTCCTACAGCTCCAATATAAAAGTCAGTGCGGTTTTTACCTTCTGCTTCTACTTCAACAGTATCCAGAGGTTCCACAGTCTCTGTATCAGTCATGTAGCCAAACATGGCCATGACGCACTGCTCAAATGCTTCTTCCAAAGTGTCTCCCCATGCATGTAGCCTAAAGAGACACAGGGTAATTCACTGCACTGTAAGCACAAAATCCCCCTGTACTGTGCAGGTGAGAAATATGGGTGTGAGAACAAATGCAAAGGAGGTTACTACACAGAAAGGCTTGTCTGAACTTAAATCTGTTATCTCCCCAGATGTGTTTCTTCTTACAGTATATGAGAAGAATTTCTTAGGAGAAAAAGGAAAATTCTTATTTTACCAGACAACAGGAATGTCCTTTGTAATGTAGAAAATGGATATCTATGAACTGCTGAGATGAAATGTGATGTAAGGGCAAGAGTTTAAAAGATTTCAGAAGACGCTCCCAAATAACAGAGGCTTAAACAGAAGCACCACAAGAATAGTGCATTAGAAATAAACCATGTGGTTCTATGCACCCCAGGAGTGGAAACAACAGAGATGGCTGCCCATACTTACTGCACATCTGCTGTGTGATCCAAATCTGAGAAGGAATGAAAAAAAAAAAGCATCAACAATTATAACTTTGAAAGAAGATTAATATCAATATCCAGAATTTTTTATAACAATAACTTCTTGGGTTCACCTTGAGACAAAAAAGCTGAGTGTCGGTTTTCTAGTATCATAGAAAAAACAGCAGAGATGAAATTTGGGATTATTTCTGCTCAACAGAAGAAAAAGACAGAATTTTAACACAAATTCTGTCAGCACCCTCCACGCACAGCACTGTGTGTGCTTTCTGCAATGCAACAGGCTGCTGCAGGCTAACTGCAATGAAAACCTTTGACCAGGAATAGTTTTTGCTGATGTCTGCAGGACTGAAAATTATTCATGCAGACAATGAGATCTGCAAACCTTTAGAGCTCAGTGAAGAAGAGCACCTGTCCACAGCCACCAACATCCACTATGCCACAAGGAGAATTTTAAAACGTATATAACACAAAATATAAAGTAATCTTCACTAATGAAGCAGGCTTAACATCCCAAACGCATATCAGGTTTTACACAACCACTTACATTCCTTTAAAGGAACCAGAGAAGTACAAAATAAAGCCAGATTGGTAGAAACAGCCATGCTGGGACACAGAACATCAGCCACCCTGCAACCACTCCGACTGAAGGTTCATTCTGAGACCGCTCACACACTAACTGCTCCTCAGCAGCTGTCACTAACGCAAACAAATTCCAGTGACTATAAAAGAAAACCTTTTCCAGTTATGGAAACAAAGTTAACCGTTGTAATGTGTCAGTGTTCCTGCACCACACATGCTGCGCCGTGCCCCAAGCAGCCCTGGTGCTGGCAGCCACTTCTTAGGAGACACTGGGGGGGAAAGGAAGCTTTACTGCAACTATCTGCAGTAACAGCAATTGTAATTATCTCCTCTCTATTATTCAACTCCAGATGCATCCCACGGCCTAAACACACAACTATGGCACCGTGCAAAACCCCACAAGCACCTGAAAAGCTCATCCCATTTCCTTCTTCCCCTCACACACTCGCACACACCCCGTATCACTGCGGTGCTCCGTCACTCACATTCGTACTTCTTGGTGACCGGTGGGTACTTGGCCTTCACAGCCTTCTGCTCCTCCGTCAGCCCGTAGTCCCGCTCACCGCCCGCCATGGCCGCGCTGCTTTCCTGCTCACATGAACATGGCCGCCGCCTCGAGCCGCCCGCAGCGCTGCGGGCTGGACGGAGGGCTGCCTCCAGCCGGGGCTCTCAGCAGCAGCCGTGGGGAGCGGCTGCACACGAGCTGCTCTGTTAAAACAAGATTAGGAACGCCGAGTTCAGATCTGCGCCGTTCACCCTGCCGGCCCACAGCAGTGCCGCTCAGCGCCACGCACCCCGTTCCTTCTGTTGGAGCCACGCTCCAGCAATAAAACGCTGCAATGGCGAGAACTTAATTCTCACAGCTCTACAGTAAGTTACCCGGGCAGCTTTGGCTCCTGAGCATCACAGCACGGGGCGGGCAGCCTGCGCGTGTCACAGCACCGCGATCCCCAGGGACAGCCTGGAGCCCACAGAGAGAGGAAGAGCCAACGGTTCCTGCTGGGATGGGGCTGCGCTCACAGCTGCGATCCTATCGGAATGGCACAGAGGCTTTCCTGCACTGTTTTCCCACAGAATACTTTGGTTTTTTACTCTGCTTGAACGGCGGAGAAGATGCTGTTTCGAACCACCTTTTAGAAGCTTGATTCTCCACCAAACCTCCGCGGCCGCTCAGTTCCATACCGACATTCATTTCTAAATAACAGACATAGGCTGGAGGCTCTGATTAACTTCAGGCTAATTACTTCCGAAGATCCCACGTGAATTCGCCATGACTTTTTCCAGCAAGAGAGGCTCGCACTGCCTGCCATGCAACGATTCTACGGGATTTCCAGGTTCTATTTGCAGATAAGCACGGAGATCTGCAGGGCCGGGAAACGCTCCCCGGAGGGAACGAGGCCGAAGGAACACGGGACTGCAGGCGAAACGAGCCACAGACCCGGCACGAGGGAGGTCACGGCGACCCAGCAGCAGCCAGTAACCGGGAAGCAGCAGGACAGAGCTCGGCGGGAGCTCCGGGCCGGCAGCCCGAGCCTCGGCCCAACACCCCCCAGCCCAGCGCGGCCCGCTCGCAATGCCGAACCCCAGGCATTTCCCCCCGCCACGGCCCCACTCACCGCGGGGCGCTGTCCCTTTAAGGGCCACGCGAGGGGCGCGCGCCGCCCGCCCCTTCCCTCCGGAAAATGGCGGCTCCCAGGGGAGCTTCGGCCGCGCCTCCCCGCCTCCCTCCTTCCCGACCTCCCTCACACGTGACCGCCGAGCGCGCTCTCCTGCCCCTTGTCCCCGCCCCTTGCCGCTCTCCGATTGGCGGAAGCGTCCCGGCGGCGGGCGGCGATTGGCCAGCGTTGGCGCGCGAAGGGGTGCGCGGCGCCGGAGCGGCACGCAGCGGGGGCAGGAAACAATAGAGCCGTGGCCGAAGAGGAGCGGAGCACCGGCCGCCCGCCTCGCGCAGCCCAGCCCCATTCCACCGCCCCGCTCCCCCTCCCCGCCATGGCGGACAAGGAAGGTAGGCCTCGCGGCGCGGCTTCGGCGGCGCGGCCTTCTTGTCTCAGCGCTCCGCGAGGCGTTAGGCCTCGCTCCCCGCCCCCCGCCTCCGTCGGCCGGCGCCGTGAGGAGCGCTGGCGGGGGCTCCGGCAGGGGGCGCTGTGCGGGCCGCGCTGCGGGGGCGGCGGGCGGCCCGTGGGGGCGGCGGGGCGAAGCGCTGGGAGCTGCGGGGGCGGTGGGGGGCAGCAGGAGGAAGCGGCCCCGGCCGTGGGTTTCCGGGGCACGGCCGCCCCCGGGCCGCTGGTCGCTCCGCTGACGCTGCGCGCGGTCGCTGCTAATTGAGAGGCGAGGGGCAGCGCGTGCGGTGCGGGCTGCGTGTCCCCGCCGTGCCGTTTGAGGATAAGCGGCTCCGTGCGCCGCTCCGTTACTGAGCGCCGCTCAGCGCCGTGCGTGTCGTGATCGTGTGGCGAAGGCTGACATCCCGCATTTCTTTTGAATAACTTCAGCAGCCTTCGATGACGCGGTCGAAGAACGCGTGATCAACGAGGAGTATAAAATATGGAAAAAGAACACACCCTTCTTGTATGACTTGGTAATGACCCATGCTCTGGAGTGGCCCAGCCTGACTGCTCAGTGGCTTCCTGATGTGACGAGGTGAGGGTGCATGCTGAATCTTCTCCTTGCTGTTGCTTTGATTTTGACGCTTTTCTTCTTCCAGCTTCATTCTCCTTTTTGAAATGCAAAGCCCTCTTTCCCGCTAAAAGAGAACTAAATATAATTTCAGTTTAAGCACTCTCGTCCTAAGCTTCCACAACAACATCCTGCTTCCAAAGACCATTCGTGCATCTCAAAACATCTCAAACCATGTACTGGGGAGGCTGTTAAAGTCTCTTAAAGGAAGGCAGGGGAACTGGTGGAGTTATTTGGAGGTAGGTGCTGTTGTGCTGCAAGAATTTTAATTTGAGATCTTGAGCTGGGAGGAGTGATTCCTCTGGAGGAAGAAAATACAGTGTCAGAGCAGAAGAGAAATGCTAATTTCTAAGGATGTCATTGGTGTTGGAAGCTGTCATCAAAGGATGCCATATTCAACTCAATGTTTGTGTGAACTACTGTGTTTTTCACCTAAATTTCTTCTCTTGCAGGCCTGAGGGCAAAGATTTCAGCATTCACCGGTTGGTCCTGGGGACTCATACTTCAGATGAACAAAATCATCTCGTGATAGCAAGTGTGCAGCTGCCTAATGATGATGCACAGTTTGATGCCTCGCACTATGACAGTGAGAAAGGAGGTAAGGGAACAAAGATGTCAATCAGGTGGGGCTTTAACTGTTTTTCCTCTGCTTCTTAATGGTAGAATCAATCTTTCTACATGGTAAAAGTTCTTAACAATTTAATCTTAGCTTTTCTTGTTGTCAGAAACCTGGATTATGCCATTTATATTTTGATCTTTGGGCTTCCTAGAGCTATTTGTAAACATGACATTGTTTGATAAATACTTTTTCTACTATTTTGTGTTGAAAGTACATAGATTTAAACCATCATGCCATTGGTAACTATAAGAATGCAGTCTGCATGCTCTTGTGACTGTTCCTGCCCCAGATAAATGCCTGATATTACCAGCAGCTGATTCAGGGTCTTTGTGTCTCAATATGAACATGGCTAATTATTTACAACTATTAAATTCTTTTTCTTTTTCCCCAGAGTTTGGAGGCTTTGGGTCTGTTAGCGGAAAAATTGAGATTGAAATCAAGATAAATCATGAGGGAGAAGTGAACAGAGCACGTTACATGCCACAGAACCCATGCATCATTGCTACAAAGACTCCATCCAGTGACGTCCTCGTCTTCGATTACACCAAACATCCTTCTAAACCAGGTGTCTGGAGCTTTGTTTGTCACCTTTGTGCTTCAGAGCTACAAAAGTATCCAAACAGCCTTTTCTTAAGAGAAGGTTGATGGGGTGCAAAAGAGATTGAAAACTTTTGTGGGCTGCGTATCGTGTAACTTTAATCCATGATGTGCTGATGTGATTCCAGGCGTCGGAGTTCTTATGCTGCTTTTTTACAGACCCTTCTGGAGAGTGTAACCCGGATCTGCGTCTTCGTGGGCACCAGAAGGAAGGCTATGGGCTGTCATGGAACCCAAACCTGAGTGGGCATTTGCTTAGCGCTTCTGATGATCATGTGAGTGCTTTTCAGTATAGCTGGGGTGCAGTCTGCACTTCGTGTCCCTTGACAAAGGTCAGAAATGTTCTGTTTGAGGGGATGGAGGTGGGGGAGCACAGAGAATTTCTGTCTAAAGATACAATTTTTATTTTACTTATTTTTCCCTTTTTTTTTTTTTTTAAAGACCATTTGCTTGTGGGATATAAGTGCTGTTCCAAAAGAAGGTAAAGTGGTGGATGCAAAGACCATCTTCACAGGGCACACAGCTGTAGTGGAAGATGTCTCCTGGCACCTGCTCCATGAATCTCTTTTTGGATCTGTTGCTGATGACCAGAAGCTCATGATGTAAGTGGGGTGCTTTCTTTAGAGGCTGAACATGTCAGTCCATTTTGCCTTCCCAGCTGCTCCCTGGTCTGCCCGTGAGGTGGGCTGTAGGCCTTTATTCCAGGTCTGTATTCCATTCCTTCTCCTTCCAGCTGGGATACGCGGTCAAACAACACCTCCAAACCCAGCCATTCCGTGGATGCTCACACAGCTGAAGTCAACTGCCTCTCTTTCAATCCCTACAGTGAGTTTATCCTGGCTACAGGATCAGCTGATAAGGTATGTGTTTTTATTGAATTTGGAACGGTTTTGTTTAGTTTTTGATGTGTAGGAGTGGATGTGTTACGTTGGTTTCCTCAGGAAAAAATATTTTTCTTTCTTTGACAGACTGTTGCGTTGTGGGACTTAAGGAATCTAAAGCTGAAGTTGCACTCCTTTGAATCACATAAAGATGAAATATTTCAGGTATAACAAAATGTCTGTGTCTTCCCTGCACCTAAGCTTAGTTCTGCTTAGCTAGCAGGTAAAATGGAAGGTAGTCTGTTTCAGTGTGCTTTCATGAAGTGTACTTGTGCTTAAAAACCTCATTCCTCTCTCTCATCTGCTTATAATTTTCTGGTTTATTGTTGTGGAACTTTGTGTGGGGGAATTCCAAGGCAGATAAGAGTGCCCAGAAAGCCAGGGGCAGAACGTAACAAGGAAATGGCTGAGAGCTTTATCCACAATGTTAGGAGTGAAATAGTAGCAGTACACAGTGCGTGTAAATTATTCATGGCAGCAGATTTGAAGCAGCAAGGCACAGTGAAATGGCTGCAGCGTTTTCATCTTCTCAGCTTGGTCCTGTGGGAAGGCTTGAGGTGGCAGCCACTAAAGGGGATTGCTGGACCATCCTGTGACAAAAAAGAATTGCTAATTTTGCTGGTGTAAATATAGAAAGTTAACATCACTGGTAGCATGTGCTTAGCAGATACAACATTTCCATCTCCAACTCATGCAGTAGTCAGAACAAAAGTATGTGGAAGGGTTTTTTTTGTTTAAGGATTGCTTTGTAAAGACTAGTTATCTCTGAATACAGTTATGCTCAGAATCTTGAAATGTCAGGCTAGTGTGAAGAATTGTCTTATTTTCTAATCCTGTGATCCTATTAAGTGGTATGTTTTGGAGAAATTTATCTCCAGCAGTCGTGGTAAATGAGAGCTTTGGGGCAGTTAAGCTTTAATTACAGCGATTTCTTTTCATGTGTAAGCCATACCTCCCATTTCAAGCATCCAGAGTTTATATTGGTGCAGTTCTCTTGGAGGAGCAGCTAATGGTCTGCAGGGTTGTTTATACTTTGTAACATGTGCTCTCTGTTAGAGAAGAAGTTGCACGTGAGACCTTTTTGGTGCTCAGATACTTTGTTAGCACACAGGCTTACACAGAACTACTTGCTACCTTAGGATGTTGTTATTGGGAATGTTTCTATTTCAAGGTAATAATGATTTGAGTTCTCATAAAGCTCTCATACTATAAGGTACAGCACTGTATGTAGCAAAAGTCTGCCGTGTTACGGGTTCTTCAAACTAACTTCATTTCTAAATTGATTCTTGTCTGTAGGTTCAGTGGTCTCCCCACAATGAAACTATATTGGCCTCCAGTGGCACTGACCGCCGGCTGAATGTCTGGGACTTGAGGTAAATCCCAAACTAGTCAGGTTGTCCTAATGAAATAATATTGATGAATTGCACCACAAGCAGCAGCAACAAAACCCACAATTCTTATTTTTTTTAAAGTAAAATTGGAGAAGAGCAGTCCCCTGAGGATGCTGAGGATGGTCCCCCAGAACTGCTGGTAAGAATTCTGAGCCTCACTGCTTGTTTGGTCCGATTACTCATCTCTGCAACGGAGATTCGAAATGTTTTGCCCCTCCACCCTTTTTTTCCCCTTCTCTCCTAGTTTATTCATGGTGGTCACACTGCAAAGATCTCTGACTTCTCCTGGAATCCCAATGAACCCTGGGTTATCTGTTCTGTATCAGAAGACAATATCATGCAAGTCTGGCAAATGGTAAGTTGTTTGGGAGAGCGCAGGAAGTGGTAGATAAGAGGTAGTGTTGAACTGCCTGAATGTCAGCATTCCGGGTTTTATTTACAGGTCCCAGAAGGATTTGCTTTGTAGCACTGCCTAAATCTCAAATGGGCAGTGAAAAATGTTTGAGATTCAGTAGAAACAAGGACTTACAAATCCTGAGAAGCTGTTTTGTATTTCTCGTAATTTAATAGTAAAAAAGAAAGTAAGTAGTGGTGTATGGAGTAGAAGTGACATTTTCCCATCTATGCTTGAATGAAAACTAGGTTAAAAAAAAAAAAAAGACAAAAAACCACCCAACAGACAGAAATCAGGTCAAAAACAAACAGCAAAACTCCAGCCAACCACCACCACCAACCACAACAAACGCAAGCATGAAGTTGAGGTTCCTGTTAGTTACTGTCATACTGGGTGAGTTCTTTGTGTGTGATACAGAAGTCCCTTGTGGCTGCAGAGGGGCAGCGTGGTGGTGAATAGGAGAAAAGTGCTGGTTTAATTCCCAGTGCTGAAAGTTCTGGACAATAATCTCTTACAGCTCAAATAACCTTTGAAAAGACCGTGCTTCTAATTTTGGTTTATTTATAGATTGTTTCACAGAAGCTTTGTCTTGGCAATGTATCTGTGTAGTTCTTATGGAAAGTGATGCTGCAAAGTGAAGGTTCTATTAGATGTATGCACGGTAGTCTTAATTAATATAAGCCTGCTCTGGTCTCTGCTTTAAGAAGTCAGATGCCCATAAGCTGCAGTAACAGAGTTCTTCTGAAATGTGCATCACTGTTTCAAAGCAAGGCAGTCTGTGTTGCAGCTTTCATGATGAAAAGCCTCGGGGGATTGGTGCCACACATCTGCAGATGAAAATCTGCCAGGACTTTCTGAAATTCTGTGGCATCCTGTTAAATGCAATGATAAATGCTTCTACAGCTCCTTTGCTTTGACTTGCAGGCAGAGAACATATATAATGATGAAGACCCAGAAGGAAGCGTGGATCCAGAAGGTCAAGGATCTTAGATGATGGTCCTTCCTGTTTCTAGTCCTTTTCCTTCTCTTCCCTCTCAGCCCTGATATTGACTTAACACTGGTTTTGAGACACACGTGGACTTTGTGTTCAGCCATCTTTCTGTAGAAACCATCAGCAGTGCTTTTTACCCCGGGCAGAACTCCCTAAGAAAAGGGCTTTTAGTCCAACTCAGCTGGTGCTGTGCTGCAGCTCCTCAGTCAGATTTCCCACAGCAACCTCTTGTGTGCAGAGCCGTCCCATTTTAGCTGCCTTCCTCATGCAGAACAAATTTTTTGTTACTGTTTTCTGTCTTTAGCTTGCTACAGCTGCGGGCTTTTGCCTAATTTAAACAAAAGTTAAATCAGCAGAGCTGCCAGAGGGCACTTGAGCCAGCAGAGATGGTGCAAGTGTTAATCCACTGGTAGTTCAGAAATGAGCGGGGAACATCTTGTCCTCTTCAGTACAGTTCAGAAGTGTTGGGATTCTTTTAGTTAATCTGTACCTGCGTGGCTTTATCTGCCTCTGCAGATACATAAAGAGACTTGCAGATTCTGAAATTGTATTTCTTCCTATACTTTCTTTTGTCTTTGCTGGTAATTGTGGGTTTTTCAGTTCTTCCTTCTGTCCTTCCCCTTTCCTTCCATCCCCTGGATGACAGTGGTTTGGATACATCAGCTGTTCCTGCAGAGCATCACTCACCTTCCATGCATCTTGTTCTATTGTGTGTTTCTTGAGCTGTGTTTTCACATATATTTCTTTCCTTTCTGTGAAATGGTTTTTAAAACTTTGGGGCCACAAAGTTGTAAAGGTGTCTGTTTTACCAGCGATGTACCACAGATGGCACAGCCCGGTGACCTACAGCAGTGGTAGCTGGTGCAAATAAAGCAAATGAGACGTGGGCAAACTGCCTTTGTGGGAGTCAGTCCTTGACCACTACTTCCTGCCCATCTTCCACCAGCGACCCGTTACTCCTCATGTTCCTCATGACTAACTGCGTGTAAGTGCTTCAGATGGAATAAATTTTTTCTACGTATGTGCTGCATGGCTGTGTGATTTTGTGCTGGTGTTTTCCTTCTGCATTGACTGTTTTCATGAGGGTAAATTGTATCCCTTGGGAAAGCAAGGAAAGGGAGGAGAACGAGGAGTCTCTGGGTGCTGTGAGGGTGTGGGTGCTGGAATATACTTTGGGTCTGCAGTGCATGCTTCTGCAGGCTGCCTCCTCTTGTTTCTGCTGCTTGCTCTGTGAAATGAGTACTGAACAGCTCAGAGCAGTCAGGGATGCAGTGGAGTGTGCCTTCCTCCTGCTGTGTGCTGCTGCCTCAATTTTGGGTCTGCCTTCAGCCCTTACACAGAACAACGTGGGTGGTGATTTGTTTTTTTTATTCTCCATGTTTTGTTAAGCGTGAATATTTGGGTGCCTTTCAAGCCCCTCACTTTGACACACAAGCTTATTTTTCTTTGACACACAGCTTTGAGAAATAAAAAGATCCTTAAACTCTGACCTTTATTTTCAGTGTGAGACTATAAAGTGGAAACCTTTTATCCACAGACTTCAGTTTCTGTGGCCGTCCATGGAGCGCATCGCAATACAGCAGACACCACTGAGCTACAAAAGGAAACACTTCTGTACGTAAACTTCAGCATTCAGCCCCATAAGTCCTTTCTGTGCAGGCTTATATGCTCTACCTATGGAACAGGACGCGATACATTTTCCAAACACAGCAAAACATACACGTGTGATTCTTCAGCCATGTCCGTTCAGTGCAAGTACCATTTTCTCTGCTCGCTTGTGGAGAAGCAGATTAGTAGAAGATCCACAGCAGAGGGGTGCTCTGACTTCGGGCAGCGAGAGGAGCCGACCCTGCAGGTTCCAGCACCGCCCTTTGGTGAGGAGGAAATCTCATCTCTAACATTCCTGGTCTGGTTTTTCTTCAGATTTGCAAAGGTGGCCGTAGATTTCTAAGCAGCCCCTGTGTGGGTAGAAAGTGAATTTAGGATACTAAATATGGAACATATGAAACACAAACTAATGAAAAAAAATCTTCCCAGTGTGAAGGAAAAGCAATTAGGTAATGCTCAGCTTGGCTCAGTGCGTGGCACTGAACGCGCGGATTGCGGCCAGCCCTGGGATGGACAGCGGTCTGGCAGCAGGGAACGCGATTGCTGCGCGAGCCATGGGAGGAGGCAGCTGTGATTGCTGCCGCAGGACACAGGAGGAGGCAGCTCTGAGACTACTGCACTCCGACTCCCAGGTCAAAAGTGAAACTCGAGGAGGTGAGCTGACATGTAAGAAGTCTGAAGCGCTATCGCTTCCAGCAATGGCACTTCGTAGCTCTGGGTGTTAAGAGACTGCAGCCAAGCTGGGGCTCCATGTCAGCCTCTGCACCCCATGCTTCACAGGGACCCCACGCAGCAGAGATGCTGCAGTTACTCTCATTAATAAACTTTGTAACAATGAGACGCACCACCGACATGGGAAGGTTGGCTCTTCCCTGGGCTCACCACTGCGGTGCTTCGTGGAGAGAAGAGCTGCAGCTGCTGGGGAAATGCCCTCCCTCAGTGCAGTTACACGGGGAGGGTGAGAAAGGAACTCTACGTAGCATTAAAGTTGCAGAAAATATTTAAGAGTGTGTACTGCTGAGATGTGGACTAACATAGCAACACAAAGTTTGGCAAGAAAATAGTCCACAAACTTGTGGATGTGTTGTGGAGCTTTAAAATGTGGTAGAGAAGCCCTGAGTGAAAGCAGCAGCAGATTCAGAAGCAAGAAGGTTGTTCCCTCTGATACAGACCATCTGCAGCAGTGCCTCTCAAACTGAAACCCAGCTCCCTTCCACTGTTCCTAAGGAAATAGTGTATATTTTTTCAAGTTGCCGTGCCTGTCCCTTGGAAGGCAGCCCCTGCTTCTACTCTGTGCAGAACTTTCCATGACACGGCTGCATGGCAAAGGCTCTGCAGTTTCCACAGCACCACCCCTGCAGCCTGAGCCCGGAAGGAGGTGTGCGTGGAGCAGACACTGACTTGTAGATGGACAGCTCGTGGTGCAGGCTGCTCCGCAGCTCCTCCAGCTCCTGGTTCTTGCGCTGCTGGAGCTGGACGCTGTTCTTCAGCTCCTTCAGCCTGTCCTCCAGCTCCTCCACCTGCTCCTGGGGTGAAGACAGAACCCGGTTACGTAGGAAGCTTTGCCCTGCTCCGTGGTGGTGGTCTTAAGAAACCCCTGCAGAAAACCTCTGCTTCCCTACCAAGGCGGCACCCAGGGCTGGCGTGCAGTTCTGCTTTGCCTTCCCCGCTGGCAGGGTTTGTCCCCCACACTGCTGGGTGTGCGTTTGAAAGGCTGTCAGCACTTTATGATCTAAAATACTTAAGTAGATAAACAAGGGGATGGGGAAAAGGCAGCAGGGAGGCACAGTGGGGGCTCCCTGGGTCTGAATGAGGTGGGGCCCTGAGCCCCCTGAGCAGCACCATGGCAGCTGCGTCCCAGTCCCAGTGCTGCAGCACAGCAGTGCCTGTAGGGATGATGTTGGCTGTGGGCAGTGGTGATGATGGCTGGGAATGCTGGAGATGGATGGTGGGGCTGCCCTGCCAAAAGGGCTCTTGTGGATATTGAACTGTACTTTGTACAGCACACGAGGTGTTGTGAGGAGGCCTGGCTTGGCCTCACGGCTCTGTTCCAGCACCTGAGCTCTGCTTCATCTGATGTGGAGCTGCGTGCCGATGCAGCACTGCACCTCCTCTCTGTCCCTGGGGTTCCTCGGTGCCTCTGCACGTTGCTGGCTGGAGGCAACACCTGCTGAGGTGTGGAGCCCTCCCCAAAGCTCATTCTGCACAGCGGGCTGCACTGAGCATCCCGCCAGGGCACAGCGCTGCTGAGTCACCGAGCTTCAGCCTCTGGGGCTCCTCCAGGGGCACCGAGTAAATCCTCAGGGAGAAAAGTGCCTTCGACGGAACCCTGTGCTGCCTCCCCAGCCTCCCTGCCCCCCTGAGCCTACAGACCAGACCTCTGCCACCCGTGCTGGCAGTGCCCGCAGGTAGGGATCGCCCCGCACGTACCCGGTACTGCCCGACCTCCTCGTCGCGCTTCTGCTTGACGAGCACGATCTGCTCCTCCAGACTCCGGTTCTGCAGCCGCAGCCGGCTCACCTCGCCCTGCAAGGGCCGCAGGGCCTCCTTCATGCCCTGCACCTCTCCCTGCAGCTCCTGCAGTGCCCGTGTCCCCGCCTCGCGCCTCTCCAGCAGCCGCAGCAGCTGCGGTTCGTAGTGCTCCTCCAGGCCGCGGCGGCTCCGCGTCACCAAGCTCTCGAACTCGGCCGACAGCCGCCGGCTCTCCTGCAGGTACTGCGGGTCCTGGCGGCACGGCGGGGCCTCCAGGCGCTGCCTCAGGGCCTCCTTCTCCTTCTCGCAGCTCTCCCGCAGGCGGCTCAGCTCTCCCGACAGCCGCCCGGCCTGGTTCTCCAGCTCGTCCCGATACGCCGCGTGCTGCGAGAGGTCGTGGCGGCGGCTCTCCAGCTGGTACTGGCAGGCCACGCACTCCTTGGTCACCTTGAAGAGCTTCTGCTTGATCTGACGGATCTCGTCCCTCAGGTTGTCCCTCTCCAGCTCCACCTTGGCCAGCAGCCGGCAGGCGGCCTGGATCTCCTGGTGGGCATGGCGGATGTCCTGCAGCGCCGGCTCGCGCAGCTGCGTCAGCTCCTCGATCAGCGCGTCGCGCTCCTTCTCCAGCTGCTCCACCGCCTCGATGCACTCCTGGAAATACTCGCCCAGCTCCTCCAGGCTGAGGCACGGCCGCTCCGTGCCCTCTGCGGCCTGCGGGGTGCCCGCCCCCTCCGCGTCCATGTCCTGCGGGACCCCGATCCCCGCTGCGCCTGGCGGGATTCCTGCCCCGTCGGTGTCCATGGCCGATGGGATCCCTGCCCTGGCTGCATCCAGTGGGATCTCTGCCCCATCCATGTGCAGTGGGATTCCTGCCCCATCCATATCCAGCAGGAGTCCCGCCACGGCGGCATCCATATCCAGCAGGATCCCTAACCCTTCCGCCTCCACATCCAGTGGGAGTCCTGCTCCATCAGCATCCAGAAGCGTCCCTGTTCTGCCAGCATCCACATCCAGAGGGATCCCTGCTTCATCTTCTGCATCCAATGGGATTCCTGCCCCATCCATATTCAGTGGGATCCCTGTCCCACCAGCATCCACATCCAGAAGGATCTGTTCATCTGTTTCTGCATCCAGTGGGATTTCTGCTCCATCCATCCCCAGCAGTGCCCCTGTCCCGGCCGTCTCCTCGCCCAGCAGTGTCCCCAGCATGGTGAGGTTCAAGGCCGTGTCCCCAACACCTTCCTGCAGCTCCCCGCAGGCACCCGGAGCAGGAGCAGCCCCCAGGCCCAGCGCTGGGTCTGTTGGGCTGCACGGAGCCCTGGGGTGTGGGACTGGGGCCGCTCCTGCTTCATCTGGCAGCGGTTCTGGAGGAGGTTCTGGCTCTGCCATCAGGTCCCTGCAAAGGAGAAGGGACACATCAGCAGGTGGTGGGACAGGACCCATCCCTCCCTGCCTGCCCCGAGAACAGCTTGGACACAAGCTTTTGGCATCAGCATGGGCCAGAATGAAGGAGCAAAGCCATTCTAAAGTGACTGACAGAGAGAGAGCAAGCACCGAAACCCAGCAGCAGTTCCCCACGTCCCCGTAATGCTGCACGGATCACTGCAGCTCGCCCCGCACTCCCGGTGAGACATCCCCAGTGCAACGCGCCCAGCTATGTGCCATAACCTCACGGCACGGGAATGCACTGCTGGGCGCAGCGGGCTCAGCGCTGCCTGGGGACGGAGCGCAGCACCGCGCAGGGCCCGCGCCGCTCACTTTGCCGTGTCATCCGAGCCGGGCGTTACTCCCGGGTGGGCACCGAGCGCTGCCGCCACAAAGCGCTCCCATCTCACGTCCCCCACGCGCTATTTGAGAGCACGGAGCAGCGCACGGCCCTGGGGCTGCTGAGGGCTTTTCCTGCAGCGGGGGGCGGGGGGATGCTCTCACCTCCCGGCCCCGCGGGCTGAGCTCATGTCTCGTCATCCCCGAAGGAATGAGTGCAGGCTGGCACCCAGCGGCCCCCGGCTCGCCTCAGCGGCTTTACGGAAAGCGCTGATTTTCACCGGTCCTTTCTCTCCTAATAAGGCAGTTTTCTGCAGCGCTGACACATCGCAGCCTCGGACTCAACCGCCGGAGCTGAGGAGTGCGGGGAAAGGTGGGGAGAGGGCTGTGCAGGGTTTGCCGTGCCCCCCCTCCCTCCCTATGCCTCCAGCAGTGATTTATCAAACTTAGCGACAGCTCTGCGCCCACGGGTTGTGCTCCAACCCACCCCCTCGGCCCCAGTCTGTGTGGCCGCGATGCTCCCCAGGGGCTGAACCTCACCCCCAACCCCTTGAGAGTCCGCACCCCGCAGCCCCCGGCCCCTCTCCCCCACATCTCCCCAAGGGCCGGCTCGTACCTTGCTCTCCCGGAGCCCGGTGCCCCCTGCACTGCGCTGCACATGGGCTTAGCATGGGGCGGGTGGGGGTTATTAATACACGGCGTTGGAAATCAGACTCCCCCGGCAGCCGCTTCACCCGCTGCAGCGCCAGCTGCGGGTACTGCCGCCCTCCTCCCCGGGAGGAGGAGGAGAAGGAGGAGGAGGAGGAGGAGGAGGAGGGCGGGGAGGGCCATGCCTGCATCCCTGGCAGTGAAACCTTCAGGCTGGCTGCAGCTCCGCAGAATCCCCAGTGCCCCCACCCAACCGGGGGTCTTTCCATGCAGGATTGATTTACTGAGGGTGCCCCTTTGTGCAGCCTCCAGCCCAACCCCGTCGGGTGCCGGGCTGGGCATCTGCTGTGATGGGGACACCGGATCCTTGGGCTGGGGTGCGCACCCAGCGGTGGGGGCTGGAAGGGGCATGGTGAGGACACAGCACATGGCTGTGATTTGGTGTGGCCTTATCCTGTGCATGGAGCACATGGGTACCAACGCCCTGAGGGCTCTGTGTGTGCCAGAGGCTGCCCTGCCAACACATTGATTCCTGCAGCCCCCACTTTGCTGTCTGCATGTCCGCACCCCTTTTCTGCTCTCCCTTTGAGGATGGAATGGCATCTCAGCACCCAGCAGTGATGCTGCCTGGGGTTGGAGGTTCCATCTCTGCCCACCTACCCCTGGTCCCCCAGCCCACAGCATCCTAACCCCACCCTTTGGGACAATACTACCAGCATCTATTTACACCAGCTGTACCCATGTTGCCGGACTGCCATGCATGCAGCAGCCCAGGAGTGCATTGTGGCTGCTGGGCTGTGGCCCTGGCATCTCCCAGCTTGGGACTGGAGGAGGAGAAAGGCAGAAGCGATTGATTAAAGCGAAGTTTATCTATCTATTAAAGAAAAATTCCTCCTACCTCCGCCCTGGCTGTGCCCGCTCAGGAAGTCGGCACTCGCAGCTCAGGAAGTCGCCAGCTTACGTGCCCTGAAACCGCCCAGCAACGCACACCACTGCTTGCAACATCCCCAAATGCCACCCTGTCCCCGTCCCCACGTCAGCACCGCCGTCACCTTGCTCACTGCTTGGTTTAAAATAACTGCTCGTGTCCATGTCCCGGCCCGCCAGCACACGATGGTGGGGGAGCAGAGCTTTAAAAGGAAAGGGAAGATTTGGGTGTTTGCTCTTTTTTTTTTTTTTGACCCTGTTGCTTTTTTCAGCTCGATGCACCTTCTTCCCCCCCCCCCCAAAGTGCCTCTCTTTGCACTGAGGCTTTTGACTCACCGGGAGAGGAATGCTTTCCATTCGGACAAGTTGTGCAGATAAATATACATCTCTATCTGCATCTGCCAAGCGGGGGGACCTGCGGGTCAGGCGTGCAGCAAACCCTGCTGGGGTACCCAGGAGGCGCAGGGCTGTGCTCAGCTGTTCCCGGTAAGAGGATCGCCCCGGCTGTTTTGTGGACATAACCAGGCAACGGGCGGCTCGGGTGTCGGACCAGGCATGGCTCTATCCATGCACGAGCTGCCCTGGACTTTGCTCCAGCAAACAGGGAGAAGGGAAGGCAGGAGAATATCTGCAGGGAAACGTTCCAGCTGCTGGAACACGGTGAGACGTAGTGCCTGCTGCGGTGTCCTGGTGCCGGCCAGAGGGCACCTGCTCTGCTCCTGCCTCAGTTTCCCCAGCTGAGAGCTGAGGTGCTGCCACCATAGGGAGCTGCAGTGGTAGCCAGCATGGGATGAGGTCTGTGGCCATATTGCAGTGCTGGGGCTGACCCTATTCCCATTGCTGAAATGCTGCAGCTGCCTCAGACCTCAGAAATCCCAGATAAGGATGCTCAGGGTCTGCGCAAGGTCACTGGCGGGACAGAGGAGGAGGAGGAGGAGGAGGAGGAGGGCAGCGTGGGCACAGACCCAGCTGGGGCTGGGGCAGAGATGAAAGCCGCAGCTTGAAGGCGCCGTCCTCGCTGCTCTGCAAGGACCTTGGCAGCTCCATGGCAGCGGGGTCAGACCCTGCCCTGGGCTGCAGGCGCCAGGAGCTCCTGCTTATCTGGTGCCAGGAACGATCTGCCCACGGTGAGGCACCAGGAAAGCACCGGTACCAGCACAGCTGCTGCAGAATGGATGCCTGCCCAGCTGGGGACATTGGGTCTGTCCCTTGTGGGAGCACAAAGCTGCAGCTCCCAACACTGCCAGCTCTGAACCTCACTGCTGCTGCGTTATCTCTTGGCACAACCCAGATACCGGCTTTAAACATCCACATCAAGGCTGCTCGGCCCGGTGGCACCACTGCTGGGATAGGATTGTCCCCTCTGCCCCAGCAATGCCCACTGTGGCATTTGCACATGTACGTGTGTGTGTACCTGTGTACATGTGTGTGCACGTGTCTCTGTGGCCCAGTGATTGCTAACAAGGGCACTGCTGCAGACGAGGCTAATGCTGGGCTTTTCCATGCCCTGGCTTGGGCGCCAGGAGCAGCACCAGCTCCCAGCCCCGTGTGAGGGCTCAGGGGTGCATTGGGGTGGGGGGCGGCACTGCAGGGGCGCGGTGAGGCCGGTGGCTGTGCCAGGACCTTTTCCCCACCGCCTACAGGCACTGCAGGATCAGTGAGTCATGAGGCTGTGCCTGTGGAGCCAGCAGGTGCCTGGCTCTGGACACGGATCTGTCTCACCACCTCCAGCTCATGTGGGCAGCAAAATGGCTGAGAGAACTGACCCCACGAGCTCTGGCGGCTGCCGAGGGGATGCAGCACACAGCACTGTGGCTGGTGGGGACAGGCCATTCCATCCCATCTCACTGCCCAGGAGCTGAGCTCCAGCACAACAAGCTGCCCAGTGTCATTCTGTCTGTCCTGGCCACATGAGCAGAGGATACACGGCTGAGCTGGGGTGCTCCTGCCTACATTCCCCCTCCCCAGGAAGAGGACCAGGCACTGGGGGGCTGCAGATGACCTGCCCCATCCCAGCCACTCTGCTCCCCTCTGCTCAGAGCTCTCCCTGGAGCGTGACTGATCCTCACTGTCTTATTTGGACAGTGCTCCGTAACTGTGTGCAAAAATATTTTTAAAACTGGTTCTGCCGACATCCAAGGAGAGGAGAGATGTGAGAAACAGGATCTTTTTGGGAGGCTCATGACTCAGAACTTGGAGCTGGTTGCAGAAAGTCAACACAAACGCCCTGATCAGGGATTAGCTTTGCCCCAGAGGAGCGCACACCGTTGGGGGTCACCAAATACCCAAAGGCAGCCCAGCTGGAAGGAGTTGTCCCAGAACTGGGTGCAAGTGCCCGGAAATGGCTGCCCAAACACTTGAGCATTCACCGGGGTTGGGTCAGGGGTCAGAGCGGTGGCGGGGGGAAATGAGAAGCAGAGACAGGAGAGCTCTGCCAGCCCCTGCGCTCCTGCAGGAGCCAGCAAGGCTCAGCGCCACGTCGTGTTAATGCCGAGCACGTTGGGATCTGTCGGACTGCAGGAGCACAGCACCCACCCCTGGGTCCCACCTGCATGGACAGCAGCGTGCTGGGAAGCCTGCAGGAGGGACAGGCTCGTTGTTTTGTAAATTCTTCTAGTCATTTCCAGACATTGGCAAACTCCCCCGGGCGCGCAGCCAGGCGGTGTGTGAGCCTCCGGGAAGAGGATGTGTTTTAAAAGCAATGTTGCAGCTTTTCCCATTAAGCAGAGCATCCTCACGGGGACCTCAGCCCAGCGGTGCCATGAGCGTGCAGAAACCTCCTGCCTTCCTGCAGGGATGGCAGCACCGAGCCGGGGCTCTGGGGCACCCCACTGCCCTCCAGCAGCGTGACCTGCTGGCTGTGCTCGTGTGCAAGTGGAGACATTGTTTATTAGATCCACCGACGGCGCTGGGGAGACCCTGAGGTCCTCTGATGGTCCTGGGGAGACCCTTAAACGCACCGATGGTCCTAAGGAGACCCCCTTACTCTCAGTATATCCATCCGTTAAAGCAAGAGCCTCACATCTCCCGGTGGTGGCTCTCGGGGAGACGTTTGGACGCTCTGGGAGGCCCCCAGACCCGCCGCTGCTCCTGGAAGGCCCGGCTGCGCTCCCGGCTCCGTCCGGCAGCCCTTTCAGCGCGCACTGCCCGCGGTAACCGCCACGGCCGCGAGGAGCGGCGGACCCGAGCCGGCCCGACGGGTGACCCGGGGAGCCCCTCCCGCAGGTGGCTCCGGGGCCGCGATCCCCACCTGCGCACGGGCGGAGCGGAGGGGCGGAGCGGACGGCCGGGGCCGGGTCCTCCCGCAGCCCGGCGAGGCCGCAGGCTCCGCCCCGGCTCCGGCTCCGGAGAAACTTTCCGTCGGCGCCGTGCGCTCGGCGGGAGCCCGGAGCTGGGGCCGAGCCGCAGCCTCAGCCGGAGCCGCAGCCGGGGCGGGCCCGGCCCTATGGGCAGCGGGCGGCGCGGGGCTCTGCCCGCCGCGGTCATGTCCGCCCCGCGTGCACCTGCGGACGGCGGCGAGGCCGAGCCCGGCCCCCCCGAGGTGTCCCCCCGGAAGAAGAAGGGCAGCGGCAAGGCGGGCGGACTGCGGAGGGCCTTCAGCTGGCTGCGGGGCCGGAGGAGGAAGAGGAGGGCGGGCAGCCCGGCGGCCGCGAGCCCCGATCTGCGCGGAGCGGGTGAGGGGGGCGGGGCGGGGCGGGGAGCGGCGGTCAGCGGGCGGGGGGCGCGGAGCGGCGGCCGGAGGGGTCGGGGTGACAACTGCGCCGGTTGCGCCGGTTGTGGCGGCGGCTGACGAGAGCTGCGGGTCCGGCCGTGGAGGTGGCCGAGGCGAAGTGGAGGGGTGGGCGAGGAGGGCTCGATGCGAGGCCGCGGCGGTGCGGGGCTGCCTGAAGCGGGGACCAGGAGATGGCGGGGGGGGCCGGCGATGGTGGCCGTGGAGAGGCCAGAGCGGCTCAGTGCTGAGCGGGGGCCGCGATGGCGGTGATCGCGGCAGGACGGACCCGGCGCGCTCTCACCGCTGCCCCGAGGGCTGCTGCCGCTTCGGCTCCGGCTCCGCGCTGACTCAGAAGGTCGTTGGGGCTGAGGGAAATCTGGAGGCACGCCAGCCGCCTCCTCCTCCTCCTGGGCCCGGTGTTTGCCGTGCTCCAGGTGTGGCCCTTCCTGTCCTCGCCGTGGCCCCGTGCAGGGCTGTCCTCGTGTCCCATCCGCGTCCCGTCCGGAGCCGCCCGCAGGGTGCGAGGCGTGGAGGTGTGGAGCTGTGCCACGCTCTGCTCGCACGGCTGCTCCCGGTGGCGGCGGTCACAGGCGGGGTGGCACGGCTCCGTCCCTGCCGTGAGGGATCCCGGCTGTGTCACACGGCCGTCCTTCCCGCAGGGCGCGGCGGTGCCGCCCGGCTGCCTTCACCTGGAATTTTCCTCCTCCGTTTGCCCCGGGGGGTTCGTTCCCAGAACCGCGGCTTCGAGAAGCCCACTGAGATGTGCGATAAGGAAGGAGGGGCCGGGCCGTGCGGGGGGTCCCTGAGATGCTGCCTGGGCGCAGCACACGGAGCGCGCACTGCTGCGAGCCTGAAACCTGAGCAGAAAAAGCAAGCCGTGCCAAAGCATGTGATATTCCTCCCTGCAGGAGCGCCGCTCCAGCTCTGTCAACCCTTTTTTTTATTTTCATTTTTTATAATTAATAATTTTTCCTGAAGTTTTACCATTCACCCGCAGATCAGCAGTCACAGCCCCAGCCCGCACCCCGCGCTGTGTTAGCAGGGCGCTGCAGTACGCTCAGCATCCCGGCACCCAGGATGAGGGGCTGTGCAGTGTCCCCATGCGGGTGGCAGCGCTGGGGTTTCTGTGCCCCTATGGGCTGTGGGTTCCCCGCAGAGCCGCTCGGAGGTGCGATGTGGAGCAGCGCGTGCGGGTCTGAATCACCCTGCTGGCTCCGGCACTCAGCAGCCCCACCCTGCTTAACCGCCTCCAGCCCGGCTGTGCGCATCCCCGGGGCTGTGCTGCGGCCTTTCTGCCCGCTGACCTCAGGCGGGTGCTGTGTGCCGTCCTTCCCCGCGTAGCAGGGCCTCTCCGAGCAGCCGGGGAGACGACGCTGGTCCGTGTTGTGCAGTGATGTCCCCGCAGTGCTGCGCAGTGTGGGTGCAGAGCTCGGCAGCGCCGGGTGCTGTGTGAAGCTGTGGGCTCTGCCCAACCTGGCAGTGCTTCCAGGCGTCGAGCTGGGAACTGTGGGATGGGGAAGAGGAGCACTTAAGCAGGTCACGGTGGGCTCTGGCTGCTGGCGCTGTGCTCTTCTCTCTGTGTCTTTGTGGTGCTGAGCTCTGCAGCAGCCGTGGCTCTGTTGTTGCCCTCCATTTGCGTGGCTGTGGGTGTGGGGTGCAGCTGTGGGTCAGGGCTGTTCTTGCTCCTCAGTGTCAGCTGGGTCCGGATTGCTCAGCACTGACAGCATGGGAACTGCAGGATGAAAGCAATTCCATTTTGGATCAGTCCTGTGGCCCATCTGATGGGAAATCCCAGCTCTGTCTGCTCAGCTGAGCTGGGAAGAGCAGGGATGCTGTCATCCTGACGGATGGATCTCAGCGGAGGAATGGCACTGGGCAGGGGCAGCCCTTGTGAAGGATGGAACCCCCTCCTGCTGGATGCTCTTGGTCCCAGCACAGCCTGGAGGAGCGGCCGCAGCATCCGTGAGCACTTGGGTGACAGCCACAGGCACTTCCACTGCTCCAACGCGTGTTGGCGGCTGGAAGATGGAAAAAGAAAGAAATGTGTGAGCTGGAGGAGTGCATGCGAGCTGCAGCCCTCGCTCGGGTCGTTCTGCCCTCCTGCAGAGGAGGAGCACCGCTCGATGCCCAGGGTGTGCATTTCCCCGATACTGTGGTGACTCTGGAGCTGAGGGTGTTGTCAGCCCTCGGGATGTTGGGTTGGGGTGAAGCAGGGGCCTCTGCTCCTGCAGCCCTGCAGTGCCGTGGGGCTGCTTTTCCTGCTGTCTGCAGGAGATGTTTTGGTTGGGAGCAAGGGAGCTGAAAGCTTTCTCTCTCCCTGTGTGAGCAGTGCTTGCAGACCCATGGGGGGCTGACAGCCTCTTAACCGTCAGCAGCGCTGTGTGCTGGAGCAGGGGGGTGTGAGCAGGGGGGTGTGAGCAGGCCCCTGCATGGCCATGTGCTGGGGGTGTTGGCCCAGATTTTGGCTATGGCTTTATATGGGCCTCACAGCATTGCTCGTGATTCCCCAGTGAAGTAAAGGAATCGATGTTCTAAGAGCCCTAAATGAGCGTTGGCTTCTTGCCTTTGATGCCAGCTTCGTGCAGCAGCAGCAGACTTCCTGAGTGCTGGGGTTGAGAACACAGCTTTGAACGCACGCAGTGGCTGCACAGCGGGGCTGAGCGCTGCGGGGCTGCGTGTGCTGCTCTGATAGCAGCTCGGTGCCTCTGCCCCCCACGTCCCCCATCTCCGCTGTCACACGGCAGCGCCGTCGCCATTTGGTGTCAATGTGTTCTGGTCCCGAGCTGTGCTGAAGTGCAGGAGGTCGTGGGGAGGTGGCGGTGCGGTGCTGCGCTCCTCCTGCTGCCCGCTCCATCCGCGCAGTCACGAATTTGTTAAATCTGCAGAAGGCAGAGAGTGACACTTCAGAAAATGTGAACAACAGGAATCCGCCGGCCGGGCCCGGAGCCACCGAACAAAGAGAGGTGTGTCCTCAACCACAGCTATTCCACCTGGAGACAACTGCAGGAATTGCTCTCACAAATAGCGTTCCGTAAGAGCCGATAAAACTATTTCACCAGGGTCGTGTTTCCTTTTAGAAGGAAGGTTTTATTTCATAAGACAATATCATCATTGACTTCGTCTCCGGCACCAGGGGGAACGCAGGCCAGCGGAGGGCGAGGAGCTGGGCAGGGATGAAGTGAAAAATCCTTCACCTGCCAAAGGAGCAGAGGAGCAGAGCCCTGTGCCGAGAGCTGCGCTGCCCCGGGGCGAGGAGCTGCGCGGTGCTGACAGCCTGGGCTCCGGCTGCAGCAGGAACTAATGTGAAACCCTCCTGGTTATGTATTGCTGTTAATGATTGGGGATCTCGAGTGGGGGTTTTGTGTCACCTTTGCCTCTCTGAGCTTTGCTTCCCCATTAAGGGAACAAGGGCTGAATTCCTTTCTCATTCAGGCAGTGCGGCTCCCGCTCTGTTTGCTCGGGGATGGGGTCAGTGCAGGGACTGATCCTTCCCTGAGGGGCACAGGGGGGTCTCTGCCCCACAGGATGTGGGCTGCCCACCTGGCGGAGCGAGTGTGTGACCACACCAGGATTGGATGCGCAGGGGTGATGAGATCTGTACCTCACTGTCCATCTCCCTGCCCCTCCACCCTGCTCTTGGTGGGGCTGGCTCTGACCTTGGCTCTGCTCCCTGCTGGAGCCCCCGGAGCACTGTGGCAGCTCAGTAGGAGCTGGGTGCTGGAGCAAAAGGGAAGTGTCTGCCTGTATCTGGGGCAGTGCTGCAGGCTCCAGCCCCCTCTTTTTTGCAGGGAGAGAAGTGAAAATGCTTTTCTTCAAGCAGTGTTTGGTGAAGCTGTGTCACGGCGGAGGGGGGAAGTGTGCAGTGTTGGGGTCTGCATGTCACTGAAGCAGCAGTGCCAGGATGTGGGGGTAGCGTGGAGTCACCCCGCATTGCTGAGCAGGGAGCTCTGACTCTTGCTCGTGTGCCCATGTCCTGATTTGGTTCCAGGGCTGCCCTCAGCAGGGTGCTGCAGCGATGGGCCACGCTGATGCAGCACCGTGGGGTCGGGCTCTGCCCCACCACACGCTGGTGGGAACCCGAGCAGTGTTAATTCCGCTGCAGAGGAGGAGGCTGAAGTCCACAGGTGAACTCATTGTGGATCACCTCGGGAGGTCGGCACGGGGCGTCCGGCTGATAATTTTTGTACATCACCTCCATAGTTGTAGTGCTGCGCCTTCACCACGAAACCATCCTTCCTATTTATCCGCGCCTTCGCTGAATCACCAAAGGAACATAAACACTGCCGGTGGGAATTGCCCACCCTCTGACCAGCTGACCCCTCCCTGCCCTCAGAGCGTTTAATTTTCTCATTAAAACCAGAAGGGAGAGCTGCACTTCACACGGGCGGGCTGCTCGCCGTGCCCACGCGTTTCGCAGCCGCCCGACTCCGGGCTTGTCTGTGCAGAATCACCGCCGTTGCAGCAGCGCCGCTTTGAGCTGCCCGCACGCAGCCCCGTCCTGCCGGCTGCCTGCAGAAGTGCACGGCCGAGAGCCGCCACGAGGCCGTGGGTTGGGATCGGCCGGGGGGGAGCGGGGGGCAGCGATGTCCAAGTGCAGCCGGCTGCGCTCCGGCCGCAGCTTCGGGCGGCAGATGCTTGGAACTTCATCGCCTGGCTGCCCCTCGGGGAGGGCAGGACGGGCTGTGCCCTTGGGGCTGCGGGTCCCGGGACCCCCAACCCCCCACCCCGGGGCCACATCTCCCACAGTGCAGAGCTGTGCCCAGGGCACGCAGAAATTGTTGCGGGCTCAACTCGGCTTTGTCAACTCGTGAGCTGGGATGGCCGTGGCCGCTGTGCCGATAGAATGACCGGCAGATAGCAGAACCCGGAGAGCAGAGCGGGGCCGGGGGGGCCGTAAACCCCGTGCCTGTGCTCCCACCCACGGCGCCCACCTCGATCCGGGGCTGGGAGGGCCGCTGGGCGCTCCCGGGAGGCCACTCCTCTCCTCCTGTGCCATTGGCTCCGGCAGAGCCGGCTGCGAGCTGGGCTCCCGCAGCGATGGGAGCGGGCGGCCGGGAGCCCTGCGCTGTGGGCCCCCCCGGCAGCCCCCTCAGCACCGCCATGTAGGGCCGCGGCATCCTCCGCCCGGAGGCGGTGGAGGCTGAGATCGGAGCCATGGGCAACGCGTACCGCAAGAGGAGTCCCGCGGGCTCCCCCTGGCCGTGGGGTCGGGCTGGGAAGCCGAGGGCAGGTAGGAGCTGGGGGGGACGCGTTGGAGGCTGGATGCGTGGCCCTGGGGGCTGTGCGGGGCAGCGGCGGAGCTGGGGGAGCAGGCTGCATCCCGTGAGGATGGGGACCGAGATGGCTCTCACTGTGTAGCTGGGGGCACTCACTGCACCACAGCCTTATGCTCTGGGGATGCAGTTCAGAAGACTGGAGAAGCAGGGGGAGCTCAGCTCATCGATCCAAGGGAGGGTCCCGTGTGAATTGGATGCATATATGGGGTTATCAGATCCTTGGGGTCCCTGCCAGCCCCCTGCTTGGTCCTGTCAGACTGGACAGTGCGAGCAGTGAGGCTGCTGACCTGTCCTGCTGATGTTAAGCTGCTTCCCTGTTCCCTGCGTGTGGTGGGGAGGGGATCTGACTGTGCTCCTGGCTTGGCACAGGTGTGGTTGATGGGACTGAGGTGGCATTAAGGGCCGTTTGGTGGCTTGTCTGCGCTCCCTGCGTGCTGAGACCCCTTCCTGCGGTGCGTGCCAGCTTTGGTGTCTTTTGGTGCCAGTCCTGCTCAGAGCCAGCACTTGGGCTCTGCTGCCAACTCTGCCAGCGTCCCAGTGTCCCTCTTGTCGCAAGGCAAACATGTCACAGCCTGGATTCAGCTCCCTGGCTGGGCTCAGGGCACAAGAAAGCCGTGTGAAACTGTGAGGTGTGGTTCAGAGGTGACCTGCAGAGCACGGCGGGCAGCCAGAAGGCTCAGCCCTGTGGGGACTCTGCAGGTCCCATTTGTCCCCGGAGCACAGAGACAGGTTGGGGTTTGCAAAGTGGGCGGCTCTGGGAATGCTCCTGGTGTGTTCTCAGCCTCATAACTGAGGGGTAAAAGGTGTGTAACATCTGTAACAAAGCCTCCTTTTATCCACACCATCAATTACCTGTTGAAATCGAATGGGTATTAAGCAAAGCAAACAAGTCCCAAAGAGTCAGCTGGGAAATCCCTTTCCCTAAGATTTGGTGGGGAAGTGAAGCGAGCACCTCCTGCCCTGCAGGCTCCTCCTGGCCCCTTTCCCTGCAGTCTCCTTTCCATCTAACCATTGGGGCTGGTCCCATTGGGGACAGGTCCCCTCTCCGTGCCAACCCTGTGCTGCCCCATGAGGCGCTTTGAGCAGCTCCTGGTCCCACTGGTCCCATCCCCCAGGCTGGGGCATTTCTCTCCCAGAAGGAAGCTTCACGGCAGCCTGCCTGCTTTGCCAGCACCGTGCCTTGCTCCAGAGGTTGCACCCAATGTCCCCCCACAGGCCGGGGTTGCAGGTTGGGGACTTCAGGTCAGCTGCACCATGGTGGCGTGGGCAGATGGGCCCAAAATGTGCACAGTGGGTGCAGCACCACCGGGCAGATGCTGGGATGGGTGAGGAGGGCTGAAGGGCATGGGGTGGAAGGCGCTGAGAAAACATGGGGCAAGTTCTGTTTGTTCTCTGCCACCGCTCCATGGCAACGGCGCGGCGGCCACAAAGCCAAAGAATTTGCATTGTGTCGCTTCAGCGTTTCGGAGGGCGCAGCTGGGATCACGGGCTGGGGGCAGGGTGCCGGCCCCGCTCCCTGCCATGGCGATGCCCACTGCTCCTGCCCTGACCAGGCCCCGGGGATCCTGGATTTCAGGTCTGAGGATCACTGCGTATCACTGGTGGTGAGAGCAGCAGCATCCCGTGGTTCCCATCTCCGGCTGCTCGGCCCCATCGCCGCCCTCTGGTTCTCCTGGGGTGGGCTGGTGTGGCTGGGGCTGGGCGCACTTCCCGCTGCTGCTCAGCTCTGCGGGAGTTTTGCTTGGCCAGCCATGTGCTTTCTGAGAGTATTTGCAGGCACTCCTCCCTGGACCCGCTGGCTGCTGCTGTGTGACCTCCGTGTCCTGGGGTGTGCTGTGTTTCTCCCCTCCCACAGGGCTCATTCTCTTCCAGCCGCTCCAAGACCAGGTGCCCCGGCTGCAGGGCGTTCAGGAGCAGGCAGGCAGCGCCCAACCATGTGGCTGCCCAGTGCCTTTTGATCTCAAAGAGCAGGAGCCGTGCCAGAAGGGGTTGGCAGGAGGCTGTGCTGCCCACGACCTGCTCCCTGCCATGGTGTGAGGGGCACTGCATCCTCAGCCTGAGCGGCCCGGCCCTACTTATCTCACGTCTCTCTCTGTGCCAGAGCAGGGGATGGATGTTCCTCTGGGTGCATCCCCTCTGCTCCTCTCTGGGCTCCGTACAGCAGGAGCTGCGTGGGGAAGGTCCCTGGCAGTCCTTGAGTACCATGGAGACCGAAGCCTCTTATCTGCTCCTTATCAGGACAGCCCCGCCAGGCCCTGCTGAGTCAGGGTGCAGGAACGTGGCACCCGGCCAGGCTGCGCCCAGCAGAGCGAGGTGCTGAGCAGCCAGCTGGGCCGATGGAGCTGCAGGTCTGCTGCTGGGAGCCCTCGGCGCTGCTGCGTGTAAAGAAACCTGCAGGGTCTTGTCTCTAATCCTTTCCTGGATCTGCTCCCATGCGGAGCACAGGACCTGCTGTGACAGGCACGTCTGACATTTGCAGAGCGCCTTCGGTCCCTGCGAGCACCGGGCACGATGCACGCGTGGTGCGGATGGAGCGGGCAGCGAGCAGCGCTGGGAGGGGCGCATGGCAGGCGGAGGAGGGGAGCTCAGTGGAGACAGAGCAGCACTAGCAGAGCTCTGGACTTCGGCACGGCTCGGCGTGGCTCACTGTGGAGGGAGGAGGTGACAGCGCTGTGCCCGCAGCGGGGGCTGCCACGCGCAGGGCTCACCCCCAGCCCTCCCTTCGCCTGCTGGCTGCCCTGCTCCGCCTGGGCCATCCCCGCCCGGATCCGGCTCCCGGCTCAGACTGTGTTTACCTTCAAACCTGTTTGGTGGCTTCTCAGGAGGGGCCGAGCGCAGGTGGGGACGCAGCGGGAGGCCCCGTGCGATGGGCTGGGAGCGGGCGCCGCACTGCCTGCCAGCCGGATGGGGCCGAGGGATGGAGCAGCCCAGGAGGGACCGCGGCTTCCCGGTGTGTTGTGTGACCAGAGCACGGACTCTGTGCTTCTGTGACTCAATTTGTCCCCATTTCATTGCTGTGCTGCCTGACGGCAGCTGTGGACTTTAGCCCTCCCCCAGGTGGGGTTTCCCCTCCCATCCCATCCCCACCTGATTCTCTGTGCCATTCACTTTCCCGGGGCACTCGTGCTAGTTTTCTGTTCCATAATTGAAAGGAAGAAAAAGACTCTTGTTTATTTTCCCGTTCAAAATTAATTTTATTTCTGTCTCTGCATGGGATTGTCTTTGAGAACAGAACCAGCAGTGCTGTTCGGGTCGTGTTTATTTACTTTGTGGAGATGTTTTCCTGGCTGAAAGATCAGCCCTGGAGCAAGGAGCAGGGCTGGCTGTAACCCTGCAGATAGCAGTGCAGGGCAGCCAGGGGCCGTGTGGCCAAAGCTACCATCAATATTATTGTGCTCTTGTCCTGCCTTGAGATAGCTCTGTCCCAGTGTGCAGACCCCATGCAGAGAGTCAGGGCAGCAATAAGGGTGGGGAGCTCCTGCAGCTGCCTGGGCACAGAGGGACTGTGCTGTCCCTGAGCAGCGGCCACATTTGCACACCTGGGCGTCACCATTTGGTGCCTACGAGCATCGTTTGATGCCCCATGGTGCAGAAGGTCCCCAGTGCCGCCCAGAAGGGAAAGCAGCATCTCCTCCCGCTGCTCCTCTGGGACCTCGCAGCCCCCGTGCCAGCTCCCCTGCTCCTCCTCCCCATTTTTCCCCGATGAGTCAGTGGTGCCGGGCGGGCGCTGCCTGTTCCCCGCCGCAGGACCCAAAGGCAAGTCAGGGCAGTGCTGTGCAGGCAGCGATGGATGCACACACCTGGGGATAGTGGCCCAGCCCGCTGCTCACGGACGTGCAGGCGCAGCGTGGAGCACGGAGCCAGCGCTCACCCCTCAGCCAGGCAGGGAGGGTTTCTCCCCCTGGCTCACCCCAAAGAGAGAGACCCTGCAATGGGGCCAGCACCATTTCCTTGCAGCATCCTCAGCTGCATGGACCCAGCTGTGCTCCTTTGGGGTCTCAGCTCTGGTCTCTCCCTCCAGACAGATGGCTCTCCCTGCCATCAGCAGTGCTTTGCCTGTTGGACACCAGGTCCTGTACAGGGAAATCATCCTTGGGGCCGTCCTACCTGTCCTGGGCAGGAACCGGTCCTCCTGCTGCAGGATATGGCTGCCACGTGCATGAGGCACATGTGTGTCAGGTTGGAGCACGAGAGCCTGGAGGGGACGGGTCGATCCAGGGCACGTCACAAGGAATGAGTGAGGGATGGGATGGGATGGGATGGGATGGGATGGGATGGGATGGGATGCCAGCTCTGGGCAGACGTGTTGCTGCCAGTGTGGGCTGCATCTGCAGCCTCTGCTGTGGGATCCCCGTGTGCTGGGCTGCAGCTCCATCCTGCTCCATCCTTTGCTGCCATGGATACTGCACCCTTCCTGCAGCGCAGCGATGCACTGCCCGCAGAGCAGAGGGCAGCGCTTGGTGCAGCACGTGCCGCCTGCTTTGTGCACCCTCAGCTCTTTCATTTTGGCCCTTTTCCATTTGCACTGTGAAAAGAGCTGGGAGTGTCTGCCTGTGGCTGCCGGCACCTTCTGGGTGAGCGCGTGGGCAGCAGGGCTGATCCTGCCCTGCTGTGGGGACGGTGCTGTGCACTGCTGACTGCAGGGTAGGTGTGCAGGAGCTGCGGGCAGCTCTGCACGTTGGCTGGAGTAGATGCAGAGGAGGCTGCACCACCAGGCCAGGGCCGTGCCCGCAGTGCGGTCCCTCTGTGCCTTGGGTAACTGCTCTGCCCACAGCCAGACCCGTGTTTGGCTGCAGTAAGCTGGTTGCACAGCCCACGGGGAGCTGCTCCTGCAGAGGAAGAAGGCTTTGCCCCACCGGGATGGTGCTGCTGGTGCAGTGTGCAGGATGGATGCGTGGTGCTGGTGGGGCCCCAAGTGACATCAGTGCTTGTTTGGTAGGGTCAGCACTGTGCTGGTGCAAAGCTCAGCACTCACCTCCCACCCCACGCGGTGCCCCAGGTGCTGCTCCCCTTCACGCCTGGCTGGGCGGCCTTCCTTCAGTGTGGGGGGGCGAGGAGGGGCCTGGGGGGCTGCTGGCCGCTCCCTGCAGCAGGGCCACAAGCTGCACCCATCTGGCAGTGCAGAGGAATCCTGGCAGCATCTGTGCAGTGGGAGCCCGGCAGCGGGTGCAGGGGGTGCGGGCGCAGGGGTGCACAGAGAGCTGCGGGTGCTCCCTGCCCCCACCTGTGCCTGCAGTTCTCTCCCCTCGTGCGTGGGCACTGCAGCTGCCAACCTCCCTTCCCTGCCCCCCCCTCCGCCTGCCCCAGCGGCTGGAGCTACTGGTTGGACTGGTCTGAAGCCCAGTTATGCCCCAGTGCCACAGGCTGACCGTGACACTGCTGTGCTGGGGGACACGGTGGGGACGTGGGGGCACCGGCCCTCCCTGCCACGCTGCAGCACGTCCCAAGGGCTGATGCCTGGGGGCGAAATGCCTCCCAGCTCCCCCCAGTTGGCCACACCGGTGTGAAGGCCAGCACGGCGGTTTGAAGGGCTGCTGTGTCCAGTGGGGACCAGTCGTGGTTGATGTGGACGATGCGGGGGGATTCCCCCCCGAGCACAGGAATTTGGGGGGAATTCTCTGTACTCAGCCCCGTGCCAGGCAGGGTGCGTCCCCGCACGCTTCGTGCAGGAGGGGAGGGAGGGCGGGGGGCGAGCGGGAGGCCAGAGGAGGGGCCCTGCTCTCCTCCTCCCAGCACCGGGAGCGCGCTGGGAGCAGCCGGGCTGCCCCTCCTGCCGCCGCGCTTCCCCCCCCCCGGCTCCGGCCTCTCCCCGCGCAGCCGCTCCGCCGGGCGAGCATCCTCCCGCCGGGCATCGTGCAGCCGGGTCCTGCGGCACGGACGAGCGTGGGGAGAAAGAGCTGCGGGCTCGGCATCCTCCCCCCGGCGCGATAGGCGGCGGCAGAGCCTCGGCTGGGGGCGGCGGAGCCCCCTTCCCGCGGGGAGCGGACCCTTCTCCTGGCCACCATGGTGGTTTTCATGGGCAGGAACCTCTCCTCGCTTCTGGCTTTCTTCAAGAAGAAGGGTGAGTGGAGGTGCGGAGCGGGAGGGAGGGAGAAGCGCTTCGCTTGTCCTTACGCAACCCCGGGGCGCCCCGACCCCCGCGTGCCTCGGGGGTCCCTGCAGCAGCTGCCGCCCGCGGAGGGCAGCGAAGGTCACCGGCCCCGTTCTCACCACGGGGACCGCAGGGCACGGCGCGGTGCTCCCCACTCGCCGGAAAGCAGCCGAGCCCTCGCGGGTGGGGGTCGGGCGAGGGGCCGCCGGTGGTGGGGAGGGCATTTCTTAGGGGAAGGGCAGTGCGACGGGGTTGTGGTTGCCTTGTGTCCCTGCACCGGCACGGGGGGTCCCTGAGGACCCACCAATAAGCTCCGCACCCAGCCAAGCCTTTGGGTGCTGTGGGTGCCGGTGGAGGCAGCTGGCTTGGCTGGGCGGCGCGGCGGGTGGGCCGGCTCCATTGTTCAGGGCCTGGTCTTTGTGTGCCGGAGCTTCCGAGCATGGCTGGGGCCGGCTGTGGGCTGTGCTGGGTACGGCCTGGGTGTGACGAGGCAGCGGCTGTCCCAGTTGGTGGTGGATGCCGAGCAGTGCTTGCCTGCATCCCAGCAGCGTTTCCCTCCACCCCATTGCCTCCTGTTGTCTCCTTCCCCTTCCCCTCCCTTCCCCTCCCTGCCTGAAGTTGTTTTTTTCCAGGCAGGAAGAGCTGGAGGCTCTGCAGGCCACTGAGGGCGGACGGGGTTGTGCCCATGTCCCTGTGTCACCCTGCGCCGGCGCTGCCAGGTGCAGCCCCACTGGGGACCAGAGCTGTGGGGGTGCCAGCTGTGGGCACCACTGGGTGCTGGGAAGGATGGGGCTGTGGGATGGGTGTGCATGGCCCTGTGCTGGCCGTGGCGTGGCACCTGGAGCTCTGCCACCTGGTGCAGCTGTGGAGGGGGGACGGCAGCCTTAGGGTCCCCTGGGGACTGTGTCGTGGTTTACATATTCTGTACCAGCTTAGGGGTGAGGCCCTGCTCCCTGGGGTTCTTTGCAAGGCCTTGAGATGATGCAGTCCTATAGAAGGAAGGGTCTTTCTGTCCTTCTCTCCATATTTGCCCCTTCGAGCAGCCCGCAGCCCCCAACAGCTGCTTTGTTGGCCCTGCAGTGAAGGTGCTGTGCGGAGGGCAGCGCTGTGCCCCAGCTCTGTGCCCCAGCTCTGTGCCCCAGCTCTGTGCCCCAGCTCTGTGCTGGCTGCCGGGGGGAAAACACGGCGCCTCTCACAGCGCAGACAGGCTGACTCCGTCTGATCGATCGGGCAGAGCTGGAGGGACGAGGCTGGTCCTGTGCTCTGAGCTCGAGGGCAGACTGCATCCCGCCTGGCTGCAGGGCCGGGGGCTGCTGACGTGCAGGGGGCTGGTGGCTGACCCCGCTGCTTTTGCAGGTGCTGCCAAGACCGAGAACGACAGGCGGCTGAGCGTGCAGTACAGAGCAGGTGACGAATGCCCCGACAACGTCTTCTTCCCCAGCACGCGGCCCCCGCACCTGGAGGAGCTGCACAACCAGGCCCGCGAGGGGCTCAAATCCCTGCAGCACCAAGGTGGGTCCTGCTGGCCCCGAGGCCCCCAGGGCTGCAGGGTGGTGTCCCCAGTGCCCCGGGCAGCTGGCTGGCCTGCCTGTGTGGGCGGTGCTGCGGAGTGACCAGAGTCCAGCACTGGGGGTGGCACCAGTTGTACAGCCCCACTGCCCTGGGGGGCACTGGCTGTGCTGCTGGGCTCAGCAGCTGCAGACTGACCCCCTTCCTTCCTCCTGCAGAGAAGCAGAAGCAGACCAAAAGTGCCTGGGACCAAGGGGACACCAACAGCCTCCAGGTGAGCATGGGAGCTCCATCCAGCCACGCCTGGGGGTTTGTGGGGGGTAAGGTGAGCAGGGCAGCCCCCCTACACCCTGCACAGGACAGAGGGCAACGCTGTAGCCCAGAGGAGGCAGGGATATGGCTGAGGCTGGGGCTGCAGGACCAGGACAGGGGGGTTGCAGGGCAGGAACGGGCTGTGTCCCTCTCAGTGTTGTCCCCTTTGTCCCATGATGAGGCTCTATTCCTGTCCTCAACATCAGTGCATCATGCCTTGCCTCATGTGGCTCTGCCTATGGCCCCCCACCATGCCTATGTGCTTCTGACCCCCCTGTCTGCCCCAGCGGTGTCCCCTGGCAGTGCTGAGTGAGGCAAGGAGATGGGACACTATGACAGGGACCACTGGCCACATCCAGCCCCATGGCGGGGCCCCTCCCTGGCTGCTGACGGATGAGAAACTCCCACTCTCTTGGCTGAGCTGGAGTTTGCCGCTTCCCTGGGCTCTGACCCCGCTCCCAGCGCCTCACCCACGTGTATTTGCTTAAACTGCTGCCTCCCTTTGGCTCTCGGCCACCTTAACCCCTTAGAAGCAGGTGGTGAGGGCTCGGGGAGGAGATTCACGGGGCTGTGCCTTGTCCTGACCTCTGGGAGATACTTTGGAGGGGTGAGGGGGGCACAGAAAGCCATGACCGTTATGAGGCTGTGAACCCAGTGTATGCCATATTTCCCCTGGCATATTTACCCATAGCCTGCCCCAGCCCTGGGATGTTTTTGGCTTAGTGGTGAGGATGATGCTTCGCTCTTGTGTGGGGACAGGGTGGTGCTGGCCCCTCCACCCTGCTGGACCTGGCTCGCCTGTTCTCTGGGGTCTTTAGGACTGTGTGGGGTCCCTGGGGCTGCTCCCGGCCCCACTCCTAGTGGGAGGACTCTGGCTGCCGCTGTGGCTGACTCAGCCTTTGGCCCTCGGAGTAGCTTTTGTCTGGGCTGCGGAGTCAGTTCGCAGCAGAGAAGGGGCCTGGAGGGGACAGGGCTGCTCCTTCCCTGCAGCCTGGGGTCCATCTGAGCCCACTGTGTGTCCCCACAGTCCTGCGCGTTGTCGGAGGATGACAGTGTGTCCTTACGGAGCCGGGCGGCCTCCTGCCTCACCGACAGCGCCTCTGAGGACGCCCTCTCCATCCGCTCTGAGATGATCCAGCGGAAAGGTGCCGGGCTGCGGGGCCAGGGGCCAAGCGAGGGGCTGGGGAGCGTGGCAGGAATCTCTGGGGCTTTGAGGCTCAGAGCTTGCTTGGCCACGAGCCAGTGCAGGGATCTGGGGGCCTTTGGAGGAAACAGAGCAGCTCTGGCTGAGTCAGAGGCTGCAACGGTAGCTGGGATGGAGCTGGGTGAGGGGACAGACAGGCACACAGTGTCTCCTCCCTGCTTGGCTGCGGATGCTCCTTGGGTTGTGCTGGGTGTGTGAGCAACAGCTGGTACTGGGCTGCGGACATCGGGGACGCGTGGCCCAGGGCTCATGTCACACCAGCTGGACTCACTCTCACCTTTCACAGGTTCCACATTCCGACCGCACGATTCCTTCTCCAAATCTTCAGAGAAGGCTGGCAGGAAGAGGAAGGAGAGGAGGACAACAGTGCTGGGCATCCCCCAGCACGTCCAGAAGGAGCTGGGTAAGTGCATGAGCAAAGAGTTGCTGTAGGGTTCAGTCCCATCCCTGGGGCTCTGTTTACCTTAGCTGGGTGCATCTGCCTTGAGATCACAGCTGGCCACTTCTCCCTGCTCCCAGGTCTCAGGAACAGCCGGGAGATCAGGGAACGTCCCACAGATGGGCACGTGGGCAGCCGGGCACCGCAGCCCCTGCTGAACGGCGGCCAGGTCTCCGGTGACGCCATCCGTATCCCCACCATCGATGGGAACCTGCCACCACTGGATGTCCCCGGGGGAGCCCGCGTGCGCCTGGGAGTCTTGGAGGAAACAGACACGGCCCTGCAGAAGCACATTGACCGGGTTTACTACGATGACACGTTGCTGGGGAGGAAGACGTCGGCCAAACTGTCGCCCATGGTGAGGCCGAAGTCTCTGGCCGTGCCAGGCATGACCACCAGCGCCAACCCCCCGGATCTGCTGAGCCCCGTCATGTCCATCTCACCCCAGGGCACCTACATGTCCAAGATCATCCCCAACGCCATCCTGCCGCCTATGGTGGACGTGGTGGCCCTGACGAGGAGCAGCGTGCGGACACTGAGCCGCTGCAGCCTGGTGTCTTCCAGCCCTGCCTCGGTGCGCTCTCTCACCCGCTTCTCGGAGCGCAGCACCCGCAGCCGTGAGCCCTCCTCCTCCAGCGACAACTGGAGCCACTCGCAGTCCACCGAGACCATTGTCTCCAATAGCTCCACCATCTCCTCGCAGGGCGGCTCCGACCGCCGGCAGGCTGAGGCCGGGCTGTGCAGCGAAGCCGACAGCGCGCGACGCTCCGACGCCGATCAGATGAGTGTGTACAGCTCTGCCAGCTTTGCCAGCGCCTGCTCCAAGCCTGCCGTGGCTGCAGTGCACACAGCACACGGGCTGCTGGCCGTGGGGCCCCGCAGTGTGGGCGGCAGCAGCGGCCGCACATCCCCCGCCTTCAGCACCAGCAGCCAGGCTGAGGGCTCGGACTCGGGCAGCCTGGCGAGCGAGCGCTCCTCGGCACGCAGCGTCTCCCTCAGGAAGATGAAGAAGCCCCCGGCACCCCCTCGCAGGACATTCTCGCTGTACCAAAAGGCGGAGGGGGAGCACAAGGTGCTGGGGCTGCCCCCCAAGCCCAACCGGCGGCCACAGCAGGCGAGCGATGTGCCGTGGTCCCCGCACCCTGAGCCCTTCAGCCCGACGGTTGAGGATGAGGTCTTCTCGTCGCTGAGTGAGACCAGCAGCATCCGCTCTGAGAGCTTGGCTGGGACCAACTCCCCCAAGACCTCACGGGGCAGCCCTGGTGAGCGGGGAATTACAGTGGTGCTGAGGGAACCCTCAGCTCAGCCCAAGTGGAGCTGCCCAGATGGCTCTGACCGCACCATGTCACCCTCCAGCGGATATTCCAGCCAGAGTGGGACGCCCACGCTGCCTACCAAGGGGCTGGGACCCCCGGCCGCATCCCCAGGCAGGGTCCAGCCCCAGAAGCCGGACCGGGTCTGCTCCTTACAGTCCCCCGCGCTGTCTGTCTCCTCCTCCCTCACCTCTATCTCCTCCTCTGCCTCAGACCCAGTGCCCTCTGAGACACCGCACTGCGTGCAAAGCCGCTCGGATAGGTTTGTCATCCCGCCGCATCCCAAGGTGCCTGCTCCCTTCTCCCCTCCGCCCACCAAACCCCAGACACCTACTGCCCCCGCCGGCCCTCTCACCCCTTCACTGGACCCGTCGGTGCCCAGCGCAGCAGGGCAGGAGCCCTCCACCAAACCCAGCACCAAATCACCACCGCCATCACCACCGCCCGCCTACCACCCGCCTCCTCCACCGGCCAAGAAGGCAGAGGTGAGCCCCGAGACTGCCTGTGAGGCCCCCACGGAGGCTACCTGGCCCCCACCGCCCCCCCCGGCCCCTGAGGAGCACGACCTGTCCATGGCAGACTTCCCCCCTCCAGACGAAGCCTGTTTCTCCAGCCTGCCCCCGCCTGATGCCGTGCTGACCCCAGCAGCAGGGCAGAACCATGCACCGAGTACAGCTGCATCTTCCTCCTCCTCAACCACCATCCCCTCGTGCGTCCAGCAGCAGGGCTCACCGCCATCCCCCGCCACGCCACTTCCCGGAGCCACCGTGCCACCACCCGGGGCCACCGTGCCCCCACCACCACCTCTGCCACCGCCGTCAGCTCCTGCTTTACCGCCCCAGATCTGCCTTAAGAAGGCGGCGAACGGCTCCCGGGCAGACAGCAAGAAGGAGCCAGCATCGCGCAGCAAGAGCGGCCCGGTGCCCAAGGAGGACGCCAGCCTGCCCATCGTCACGCCCTCACTGCTGCAGATGGTGCGGCTGCGCTCCGTCAGCATGGAGCCGCCCGCTGTGGCCGAGGAGCGCGCGGTGCCGCAGAAGCCCATCCGCCGGGCCCTGTCCACGCGGCAGCCCAATTCTGCCAAAGATGCGGTGCCTTCAAACCCGCTCCATGCTGCTGTGCACCTCAAGGCCTCCGCTGCGTCCTCCAGTGAGGCTTCTGGGCCGGCCGCAAAACCCCCGGGCGGCAAAGCGGCTCCTCCTGGCCTGGAGGCGCCTGCCAGCGACGGGCAGCTGTCCCCCAGGCACAAATCCCCCACCTCCACCGCCAGCTTCATCTTCGCCAAAAGCACCAAGAAGCTGGTGATCGAGACGCCCTCATGCCCCGAGGCACAGGCCGACCTGAAGAGGAACTTGGTCACCGAGCTGATGAATTTCTCCGGGCAGCGCTCAGCAGCCCCGGCTGCTGCCCAGCAGGGCCCAGGCAAGGCACCGGTGCACCGAAAGCCTGGCAAAGTGCCCCCTCCTGTCGCCAAGAAGCCTTCGCTCGGCCTGGGGCCATCTGCATCACCCCTGAGCCCAAAGGCACCGGAGGCGTTGGGCTCCCCTGCGCCAGATGGGAAAGTCAAGGCAGTGGCAGTGGAGGAGGAGAGCAGAACCGGCAGCGAGTCGGTGGGAATGGCTGAGGGCAGAAGCGCCGCGGTTGCAGAGCCGCCAGCACAAGGTATGTGGAGCAGGAGGGCTGGGGGTGCTGGCTGAGCCCTCTGTGTGTGCTGGGGGCTCCTTAGCCAAAGGCTACGGCAGTGCTGGGGGTGGTGCCTGAGCCATTGGCCAGAGCCAATGGAGCTGAGTGTGGATGCTCATGGCCAGGGGACCCGGCACAGCACAGGTTGCATTGGGGCTGCTATGGGACACCAGGTCAGCACAGCAGGGGATAATCTCTGGGATGCTGAGGTGCAGGAGCGGGTCCCTGATGGGCTCTTCCCTCTTGCCTTGCAGACAAACAGGGAGAGACGGCCTGAAGGATGGAGTTGCAGGACTGGTGCCCCCGCGGACAGGAATCCAAATCTCTCAGGGACCTGGGCAGGTCAACGGATGAGTGTGGAACTGGCAACTAACTTAACACAGGAAGCAAACAGCCTTAGCCTCCATGGCCTTGATGATATTTATGCAAAAATGGTGTTGGTTTCACTTTCCTAAGTACTACAGCTTTATTTTGCATTATTTTTTTTACTGGACTCGAGGCCTGCCCCCAGAGCCAGCGCTCCTCCCTGCCGCGCTGCCGCGTGGTTTGCGCGTGTGAGCAGAGCAGCTGCGCAGAGAGGAGGGCGAGGGGCTGCAGCCACGCGGGTGAGGACACGGGAAGAGGACAGCGCTGGATCCAACCTGCTCCCGGCCAGCTGGGCCTATGAGGAATCAAAGCACTTTGGACAAAGGAACTGGAAGGCTTCGGCCACGGCCGCCCCTGGGAGGACTTGGGCAGCAGGAGCTGTGTGAGACAGAGCCCTGGATGGAGTGGAAGGCGCTGCAGCCCTGGAGAAAAGCACGAGGGTCTCTGGGCTGGCACTGCTCCCTGCCCGCAGCTCACCCTGCTGCTGGGCACAGCCAGCTGGGAGCCGTGCGGCTGCAGCAGGAGCCCTGTGAGCTGCCGTTCAGGCCCTGGGCTGTGGGGTGGAACCTTGATTTCTGTTTCTGTAAACTTTGGTCACATTTTGATTTCTTTGATTGTAAGAAAAAAAAACAAACAACAACAAAAAAACAAAACCAAACAACCCTCTGCCGCCAAGTAGCCCCTCAGAGCTCTGTACCTGGCTGGTAAAGATGATGACTGAAGCTCATTGCCTCCTGTGCTTCCTGGCTTTAGATCCTGGCTGCTGCCAACCACAGCCTCACTGCATCTTAGTGCTGTGCAGCTCTGGGGCACACCAACGCCCCAGAGGGGCTGACTCCTGCCCTGTTGGTCCCACAGAGGGACAGAGCTTGGGCTCCATCTTTTGCTTCTCTTGGCTGCACTAAAACACAGGAGCAGGCATAGCCATCGAACAGATGGACACACCCAGGTGCTGTCAGCTTGACATTTTATTTAGGTTTATGACAGACAGATGGTTCCCGAGTCAGTGTTTAAAGGCCTACCACTCCACCCTGCCCCAGCCTGCCACGGGCTCAGGTCAGACCTGGTGTGGCAGTGGGGTGCCCTGGGCTCCTGGCCCAGAAGCAGCAGCCCCTGCCCCAGGTGGGCTGTGCACGGAGCAGAGCAGAGCAGGGGACAGGAGCTACCTGGCTGCCAGGCAGCTGTCCCCCACCCTGGTAGCAGCAACACAGGTTTGATCAAGCAGCTTTCCCTTTCAACCCTTATGGCAGTGCCTGCACATGCTGTCCCAGAGATGCAACCAGCAAGCAGGTTTCTAGTCCATGGCACAATGGGGAGCAAGCCAGTGACCTCAGTGATGAGCTAGAGGACACGGGCACAAGAAACACAGGTCCCTTAGATGTGGTGCCACTGCCAGGCCCCAGCTCTGGCCCACAGCAGAGGTACTGATGCAGGCTGAGTAGACCCAAGGCAAAGATGTTTGGGCCAGCTCTCCAGCAGCCTCTCACTGTTACAGTGCATGGGAGACTGCAAATTCAGGTCCAGAGCTGCCAGGTCCCAAAGGGCTAAGCCCCCTGTTCAAGGTGCTGGGGAAGGAGATGGCAGAGACTGGGAAGGAGAGTCTGGATGGAGGGGCAGAGGGGCCAGGCAGGAGGCATGAGCCGTGGCTCTGGTGCTTGTTAGCTGATGCTCCCACCCTTCAGGCTTTTACACGAGATGCTCCCCAGCTTGGTCAGGAAGTTTCTCTCCTTCCATTGAGCAATGCAGTCCTCAGAGATGCGGAAATCAGCCTGGGGAGCAGAGCAGGGGAATGGGGATCAGGCCTGGGACACACACAGGCTGGGGCTGCTGTGGATGCTGCCTGAAGGTTCATTGACCATGACACGGGCAGCAAGCAGGCAAACTCAAGTCACCCACTGATGGGAACAGTGGCATCCACATGGCTGTCAGCACTGCCCTTCTCAGTGCCAGAAGCCCCATCCCTCAGCTCGACTGCTCTGTGCTGTGGTCCAGCCCCAAACACAGCCCCTCACCTGTAGCTTCTCAAACACCTTCTTCTTTGGCTTGAGCTCATCATCGGGTTCCCCGTCCTCGTAACCTTCCACGTAGACACGCTCCCCAGCGCAGCACCCGGCAGGTGGATCCAGGGGCTCCACCTGCCGTGGCTCTCCCACACTGCAGAGGAGTACACAGGAAGCAGAGTCACTCCCAGGCAGTGCCCATCTGCCCCTTGGCACCACCAGGCTCTGAGGATCCAGACTGCACCCCTGAGGGGACTGCCCTGATTCCCCTCTCACCTGGAGGCACACAGCACCATGCCCTGGGACTCCACGCCCCTCATCTTCTGGGGCTTGAGGTTACAAAGCAGCACCACGAGCCTGTCCTGTAGCTGCTCCTTAGGGACAAACTGCACCAGGCCGCTGACCACAGTGCGGGGCTCAGGCTCACCCACGTCAATCTTCTCCACATATAGGCTGTCAGCATCTGGGTGCTGGCAAGTAAAAGCAAGGTAAGGAGCAGAGAAAGGGATTGGGGTTACAAAAAAAAAAAAAAAAAAAGGGGCAGACTCCTCCCCTTCGCCTTTCCCCATACACTGAGTGCCCTTCTCACCCTGTGGGAAGGTTACTTCCCTCCTCCCATCGTGCCTGTACCTTTTCCACACTGATCACTTTGCCAACACGGATGTCCAGCCGAGATGGGACAACAGACTCTGGCTCTGAGTTCTTGGTGCCTTTCTCCGCAGGCTCTACAGTGCAAAGGGAACAGTTGCACCATTCACCTTAAATGCTGGGAGCTGGCCAAGCCCTAGGGAGCACACAATGACCCCCACTTGCTGGACTTGAAGGCTCCTGAATTCCCTGTTTGTCTGCACACACCACAGCAGTTCCCTCCTCCACTTTGCTGGCCTTTCAAAGATGCCTTCTGCCATCTCTCACTGGGGCAGGCAAGCAGCATTGGCCTTCCCTCACCCTGCAAATGCTCTCCAAGAATGGCCCTGGAGAGACTCCCTCCTACCCAGCCCCACACAGCCAGAGCCCCATTTTTCCCAGCAGCTCCTTACTTGCTTTGGATGGGTTGGGATATGCTGCACTGGTCAACTTCTTCAGCTCTGGGCTGTTGAATTTCTCTCTGATGGGGTCAAGCAGTTTATTCAGAGCCACTTCCACAGAGTTCTTCAGGTCTCCAGGATGCACAACCTGTATCGTGACATGCAGACAGGTCCCTGTGTCTTTCCCCCAGTGTGGATTTCCAACTCCCAGTGCTGCTCTGAGCTCTCCTGAAGTGCTTGTGGGAGCCTCAGGGATAAGGAAGGCGTTTAGTCCCTTGCTGTACTCACCTGCTCAGCAAAGTCCTTCTCTAGAGCTTCATAAGCTGTGTATGTTTTGTTTCCTCCCCATTTTTCTTCTCGCAGAATCACAAACTCTGTGAGACACAGATTAAGGCTCAAATTAAGCCAGATAAACCATCCCACTCTGGCCAAGAGCTAAGGGAGCTGCAGCAGAGCTGGCAAGAGGGTGTGCAGGGTGCAGTCAGTGTTAGGGAGTGTATATTCCTGCCCCTTCCTTTTGCCCATAGGAAAAAGTGACCCCAACACCTAATAGTAGGAGCCCTTCACCTGACTTGAGAGGAAAGAGGACGTGCTTAATGAAGGAGAGGACACCATTGTTCTCCACATTCCCTGGCTCACAGAAAGCCTTCTTCAGCTTCTTCTTCACATCTTCTTTGCGGTCCAGAAGGTCAATTTTTGAGTCCTGGAAGAAGAAATTTCCATAGTCCTTTTCCTAATTTCTTGCCCAAAAGAGATAACTCATGCAGGTGTTCCTGCACCTTTTTCTTAGACCTCAGCATGAGTGAAGTGAGAAATTTCCATTTCTCAGGGTGCAGCCTCTCCATTCCCAGCCATGTGCCCCTGCAGAGCCCCAACCACCACTCAAGAACCAACCTCTTCTGATGAGCTCATTTTGCTGCCTGTCAGACCAGGAACCATTGGATTCATCAAATGGATGCGCTTGGCATAGCCCAGGGAAGGAAGGTACTGGGAAAATGCAAGGAAGAAGGTCATGGACAATGCTACTCTACATATCAACTTTAACCTATGCTCCTGTTTGCTCCTGGCTCCACATAACCTTGAGCATGGCAATGAGACCCAGAATGCTATCATGGGTTCACATGGTCCTGACAGTCACTGCCTGGAATATGTGGCAGCCCTGCCTAGCACACCAGAGCCCTGTGGACCACAAGAGCGCAGCAGGAGCTGCTAAGAGCCCTGTGACACTAACTGAAATCACAGTGATGCTTCTCCCAGTGGATTAGTGAGTCTGAGTCCTGCACCAAGTCTAAGAACTTGGTTTAATATCCACCTTCAGTGGATATTATCCACCTCAATCACAAGGGACTCAAACACCCCCATTCCTAACCTTCTCTGCAAAGGTGAATATCTTCCTTTGATCAACTCCACCAAACTGCGCGTCGACCTTGAGGTATTCCTCATCCAGGGCCTGAGAAAAGACACAGACAGCCTTAAGCTTGGCCCCAGGACTCCATGTTCCAGCTCACTCAGCCTTTGGAGGCCCTGCCCAGGCACAGTCCTGGCTTTGCCCAGCACCTCCTCAGCATATGTACTCTGCCAGGCAGCCTCAACACCCACCTGCAGGCCTGGGTAGAGCAAGCCGCTCAGCAAAGGGTGCTCCACCTGCTTCACCACCTCTGCTCCTGCCTTCTTTGCATCGTGCTGCGTCACCACAGATGACAGACGGTACACATCCAAGGTGTACTCCCTATGGGAAGGGACAGCACAGTCAGCACCAGGCAGAGGCACAGCTGCAAAAGCTGCTTCAAATAAATATTGGTGCTGGCCACTGAGAGCAGCCTGGAGGCACCTTCACTTTATTCCCTGAATGACAGAGCCTGGGAGCAGGCTTGGGAATGACAGCAGAGCCCCAAACCAGCGTCTCCTTTGCACACAGGACCAGCAGCTCAGAACTCACTTGCTGAGCTGGTAGTCCGTGCCTCGGACAAACTTCAGCTTCTCCAGGGGCACTCCAATGCTCTCCAGCATGGCTTTGATCACATTCTCATAATAGCGAGTGCGCAACTCCAGCAGCTCCCAGGGGGCCTTCATGTTGTCTAGGTAAGCGTGGAGGTCAGCAAAGAGGATTGTCACCTGGTAAAGAGAGGACAGAGTCGGCACCGCCCGTCGGAAGATGCCCAGTGCAGGGGGAACGCGTCCGGCCCGGCCCCACCTCACAGCCAGCCTTCAGGAAGTCTGCGATCTTGGACATGGGCACGAAGTAGGCGACGTGCGGCTTGCCCGTGGTGGCGGTGCCCCAGTAGATCTTCACCTCCCGCTCCTTCAGGATGCCCATCAGCTTATCCTCACCCAGCACCTCCTGGGAGAGAAACCCGCGAGCGGCGGGGCTGAGGCGGGCATCGAGCCCCGAAACGCGGCCCGGCGGCGAGGCCCGGCCCGCGGGCTGAGCGCGGCGTTCCCGTCGCCGTGCCGGGGCCCGGCCCGCCCCATCCCCTCCGCACGGGGCCCAGGCCCGGCCCGCCCCCAGTACCTGCAGGTTGCGGGTGATGAGCTGGTACTTCTCCTGCGGGCCGGGCGCGGTCTCCATGGCGGCGGGAACGGACGCGGTAGCGCTGCGCACAGCCGGGCCGCGCCGCGCCTCACACACCGCGCGCGGGTTGCGTCAGCCCCGCTCGGCGCTCGCCGGCGTCCCTCTGACGTCACTTCCGCCCTCGGAGAGCCGAGCTGCCCGTGGGCCGCGCTCCGCCAATCCGGGAAGGGCGGGGCCGCAATCCGCCAATCAGGAGGGCGCGGGGCGGGTCCGGGCTGCACGTGCCGCTAAGATGGCGGCGGGTCGGGCGGTGGCGCGGTTGGAGGTGTTCGCACCTCACGGACGTCGCCCTGCTGGACGCGGCCCTGCGGGGTTGGGACGTGGCGGGGAAGGACGCGCCTCCTGTCCGCGGAGCCGTTCTAACAAGCAGGCGTTCGGTTCCTTAAGCCCTTTCTGCTTGGAAGCCCCGCCATCGCCGCCCTGCGCTCGCCCCGTTTTGCCGCGCTGCCGCCTCGGCCGCTGCTGATCACGGGCGGTCGCTCCGGCCGCGCCGCTCCGTCGTTCCGCCGGGCTGATGGGGGCAGCAGCAAAAGCGATGGTTTTTATTTCTGGAGTGGGTGACTTCCTTCTCACAGTAAATACAACAATAAGTAAACACCAGATAAAAAGCAAAGGAAAGACAAACGGGGCTCCCTTCGTCTGATGGGGGCAGGAAATGCCTTCCCCGAGCCCAGCTTCTCCTGCTGGTGAGATTCCCATCCGCACGCGGCTCCCAGGTTTGCGTCACCATTCACTTTCCCTAAAAGGACAACAGGTTTTGTTTGTGGATGTTCTTAAGCTATTGAATTTAACAGGAAGGCTTTTATCTTCTGATCTCTCCTCATCGCACTCGTTTTGTGTGAGTGCTCTGAGTGACTCACGTGGAAGGGTTCTGCCATTGCTTGGGCTTTTCCTAGGCTGGAGAAGGCTGTTGGTTACTGAGATGGAGGTGAGGGCTGGGGAGCGGTTAGGGCCCGTGAGACTGAAATGCTGAAGGAGTGCTGGGTACTTTAAATGTCAGCTGGTGAGGGTTGTAATTAATTAATATTGGCTTCAGGTGTGAGTATGGCTGATTTATAGCAGGTTTGCAGGGGGTGGTACAGGTTGTTGTGATTGGGGCTTGCGTTGGTTCTGCTGGCTGAAGCCATAGGGTGTGTGGGAGAATGTTTGTAGGATGAGGGCTGGTTACTGGTGTAACCAATACTCAAGAGCAGAGGTAATGGGGGCCTGATGGTTACAGCAGTGAATCATTGACTTAGGAAGCAGGTGTTTATTAGTTAATTCTTCTTGTATGAGAACAGCTTGCATTCATTTGAACAGGTACTGAAGGTGGACATTAAACCAAGTTCTCAGACTTATGGAGCAGCTGTGGCTGTTCAGCCAGCAGTGCCTTTCAGGTACTGAGCTAGTGAATTTAGAGACAGGCTGGTGTCGGAGATGCTGAAGTCTGCAGGATTGCTGGGTGTTCTGTGTCAGTGTGTGCCTCACCTAACTAAGAGGATGGCTTTGTCTCCCTGTGTCTCAGCTGGTAATAGTGCCTTCCCAGTTACACTGCATCAGAAGTCTATTGGGTTCCCCAGGGCAGTTTCAGGTCTAAGAGTCAGTTAATGAGCTGTACTGAATTGCTGCTGTATCGCTCCATCAGGGAAACTGCTGCTCTGTTCCCCAGGCCATACCTGCTTTCAAGGATCCCCTCCTTTCCCAAATGATTCTGGCAGTGATGGCTTCATTGCTGGTTTTGCATAAAGACATGATGATGCAGCTGCTCCTGTGGCTGCAGCCAGGAGTTCTGGTGATGGTGAACCAAACAGCCCCTTGTTGGACGTGTCAGTCACTGAATGAGGGCATTCTCCTTTCAATTACACTGAGGAGGAGATCCAGGAAATCTTGGCAGATGATTGCTTGGAATCTGAGTAGTGTGTAACTAGAAAAAGCACCCTGAGCCAAAATGTGTGGTGTCAGTGAAAAGGGTGTGAGCAGCAGCTGTACTGACAGTCATCAGCAAAGGTAGCACCAGTTGAGAGGAGCACGCTGACCTCTGTCGGTCCCAGGAACTGGAGTGGTGCTTGATTCTGATGCTGAGGAGCCTTTGAATCCCAGCCCAGTGGGTGATACGTGGGTCGGGCTCTGCAGGGTGACTTTTTGGAGAGAGCAGCAGTCATCAATGAGCACACAGCACGGGTGCAGACTGATGCTGGTAGCACAGGAGCTGCACTCTCATGCTGTCTTCTGGATCCAGAAACCAAGAGCTTTCCAAAGCAGTAAAGTGCTTGATGCTTTACCCCGTAAGATACCGTGAGAGGTAGGAATGCGAGGGCTGGCCCAAATGAGAGGGAAGGAGGCTGGGAGTCCCGGCAGGGCCGAACTGGAGGCGCGGCGCTGTGCGGGCAGCCTGCGGTGCGGCTCCCGGCAGATGGCAGCAGCCGAGCAGCGCCGGGTTCCGCCGGTTCTCCGTTCCCTGCGCTCACTGCAGCCGTGCTCTGAGCGCTGCCGTTCCTTCCGTGGCGTTGGGCATCACGGTAACATCTGCTCCTTGGAAGCTCTGCCAGTTTCTGGCGTGTTAATGGCGGCTGTGACTTGCTGGTTCCTGTGGTTGACGTTCTCTCCTCTACTTCCCTCTGTGTGTTATCTTTGCAGCTCTATTTCAAGAACAGTTCTTATTTTTGTAACTGTAAAACAATACAATGAAAAATTAATGTCTGAATTAACTCTGTGAGGCACTTTGCAGCCTTCTTCTGCATCCTGCTTTGCCAGACGTGCCCCCGGAATGAATGCCATCTGTTATTCTAAAGACAGAAGTGGCAAATGTGCCACAGAAGGGAGCTAAAGGAACATCCCCAGTGGGTGCACACCCAGAAGCGGGGATCTGCAGATCCTACAGGGCTTAAGTGTTGGGACAGTGATCTACTGCTAACACCTCTGCACTTTGCTGCTCTCAGAGCTGTCAGCAGCAGAGGTTAAAAGGAGGTGCCTGGAAAGAGCAGGGATGGATAACTGCTGGAGAGCAGTGACAGGAGGGCTGAGCAGCAGAACTGAGGTATTCTGGAGGGCAAAGAGTGTTCTGGTAGCTTACAGAGATGGCCACCCACTGTGTGCATTTCAGCTGTTCATGGGTGCAATAATGGTTGTTTCCTAGAGTTATAAGGAGCTGACAGTTCTGTGGTTCCTTGTGGAACCTTTTGGAGGCTGCACTTATCTGGGCAGTGTGAGCAGCTGTGTAGCCACAGGGCTGCTTTGCACTGTGTGGATACAGCATCAGTAATGCAGAGGGGATTTTGAGGGGAGCTGTTTTCTCTTCCTTTTAAATTAAAAATGCAAGACGTATGTTCTGAGTCACAGAAAATCAGGCAGAAGCTCCAAATGAACGAAGCTGGTGAGCGAAATGGAGAACTGTTTTGCTGGGGAAGAGCACTGTGTATGATGCACACAATTTGGTTTTCCTATCAGTGCAAAGCTCTTGTGTTCTGAATGGCTGCAGGCCCAGAATTCAGCCTGACACAGTGTGGGCTTCCCCAGTTGTCACAGAGAAACCTTCTGAGTTGGCTGACCTTGGCCCTGTGTGGTCCTTCTGTGCATCTGGATCTGCAGCCCTTCTGCCTGCATTGTTTGCAGGCAGATGCAGGACGATCCCAGTAAGTTGGGCTAAGCCATGTTCTGGTTGCTCTCCCTCCTGCTCTAATTTCTAGAGGGTATTAAATCGGAATGGATAAATTTATTTGTGGCTCTCCAAAGGACTCTGAATGCTGCTGAGGCTGCGTTGTAGCAGATGTAGAAATGAGATGTGATTTGAGCATCTGCTTGGAAATGGGTGGCTGAAACTGATAATTGACCACAAAAGATGCCTGCCAGCTGACCGTTTGTTAGCATTCACACTTCATTATGGCCCTTCATTCAACAGTAAATAGAATCATATCCTTCTTGATGAGATCCTCCTCAGCAATTCTGCTTGGTTCTGTATCAGTCTGCAGATTCAGTCAGGAGCACTGAGGCTGCTTTTATAACTGTGACGCCTGGCGCTGAATGTCAGCACTCTGCTGCTCGTGTCCTCAACAGCCGATGGGCTGGATGGGCCTATTTTTAGAAGGGCAGGGGAAGGACAAGCTAACAAACAGCATCCCTCTCTCTGAACGCAGACTACTCCCATTTTCCACCCAAACATCTGTGCTTTGGGAGAATTGCTTTCACAGCCATTCCCATTGCAGTTGTGCATATGGGATGGAGCTGCAGCACCTGCTGCTCTGCACTTCTGCCCTTCAGAGCCACGCGTGGTGCCTGCAGGCTGTGCTGGCTCTGCCTGACCGCCGGGTCTGATGGAGATTTATAATGCTTCCCAATTTTATCAGGCTTCTTGCAATCTGGGATAGACCTGATTTGTTTCTTCCTCTTCTCTCTTTGACTCAAGAAAGTAAAACTTCATGAAGAGTCGCAGATGTCTGTGACCATCTGTCCTGTTGTAACCACAAAGGGCAAATACCTTTAGAAAACAAAATACCTTAAGTCTTAAGTGACGGGAAGGGAGCAGAGGAGGAAGCAAATGTGTGATTGACCTGAGGTGGAAGTGAGGAGGTCACCAAAGAACTTGCAGGGAGGATCCAGCCTGTGTTTCTTTTTCAGGAGTGAAACCACTGGCTGCGTTCTGCCCTCGGTGATCTGTTGTGTAAGGATAACGATGGATGTGAGGTCAGGAAATGAAAGCTTGATGAGCAGACTGTTCCAGGAGTTCTCTGCTCTGGGAGGTCTTGGGGAGCATTGATCTGACAAGCCTTATGTGAATCTTTTATTGTCCCTGTTCTTTATAGGAAACAAAGTGATGTGATTTTTCTTCCCTGCTGCCCTCCAGCTCTGACCCACATTGCACAGAACTCAGTGGTGCAGACACGCAGCCCCTACAAGTCTGTGCCCTTCTGGCTGTGACTCAGAACAGAAAGCAAAGGGCACCTCTGTGCGGGAAGGACAAGGATCTGCAAAGAGCAGGTGCTGTGTGACATGGAGTTTGCCTTCTGTCTCCGTAGCCTCGTTTCTTCCTAAACAACGCATTCAGAAAAAGTGGATTTTCAAGAACACATCAGAAACTTTCCCTGCAAGTTTTTGTTCCCTTGGGCAAATGAAAGCTGATAGCACAGCTTATGAAGGAGCCCTGGGTTTGCTCTCAGAACACTCTGTTCCCTGGGAAGGAAGGTGTGTGTGTTACGTGGCCCTGTGACTCTCATCCATCACATGACTGCAGTGCAGCGTGGAGAGACCTTTGAGTTTCCCTGGGACAAGGACACAGTGTGTTCTGTATGGGGAGCACCTCGAACAGCCCCAGCAAGGGCAGCGCTCCGGGGATTTGCCTCTCACTGAGCTGTGGGTCCTGTTCTGAGTGAGCAGGGCAGCACGCCCTGCAGCGAGGCTGGAGCTATGGTGCTTTCCTACTTTGTGACAACTTAAAGATTTGTGCGTTCTCCTGAACAGCCTCTCTCCAGGGATTCACTGTATTGCACTCAGTCTGCGTGGCTGGAGGGGAACCTTGAAGACCAGAAACAGCATTAGGAATCAGGCTGCTGTGGGATGTTTGGGCTCTCATTAATGCTGTGAGCTGCAGATGCTCTCAATGAGCTGCGTGTTCTGATGGATCAGGTTGCAGCTCGGAGTGCTGGACCCCTGAGCAGAGGGGCAGCCCCCAGCCAACCTCACCTCGAGGTGTGGGGTTGGTGCCTACGGGAGGAGGTGCTTTGTACCTCTTACAGCTGCTGTCCAGTGGCACTTCATCTGTTAGTCTGTTGAGGTGCTTTCAGTTCATTTTGAAAGAATTGTCAATTCTAAATATCTGGCGTGAAAGAAAACTTCACTCCTGGAATGGTTTTGGCTGAAGCCTCAAAGTCACCGTTGATGTTTGGTGCTCTGTGACCCCGTCCCAACAGGGCCTGCAGGGAGCAGTGTGATCCAGGCACCACGCGGCTCTTCTCGGCTGTGACACCCAGCAATGCAGGCAGGTCTCTCACCCCAGTTGTTGGCATGAACCACCTGCTGTGCTGCTCTGGGAGCTGGCTGCCCGCCGGCTGTTCATGCTGAGCAACTGCTGCAGAAACGCTCTGCTGTGCCTGGGTGAGAAGGAAGGAGCAGAGCGGCTGCACAGCAGCCCTTCCCTTGCTGTGCAGCAGTGCCTGCAGGGCTCATCCCAGCCACAGCTGCTGGTGTCACGTAGTGCTGGGGTGGGGGGCTGTGCTGCAGCCATGGAGCGATGGGTGGTGGCTGTCTGAGTGACACAATGGGAGGCTGATGTGCTGGGGTGGGGGTGATGTTTGGGGGTCCTGCTGGTGGGCATCCAGGCGCTCTGCACCTGCTGGTTTGATATTCAGATATCTCTTTGAGGCTGTGAAGAAGCAATGCACAGCAGTCGCTGATGTTGATGTGAGCCTTCTGTTGAAGCAGGCGTTCTGCCTCCAGTTCAGCCATGCTGGGTTAATGGCGTCGCTCAGTGCCATGTCTGGGCAGTGGGATGATGTGTCTGTGTGCTCTGCCCAAGGTCTGCATCCTTGTGCCATGGGCTGGGCCAGGAGCATTCCTCCTGATTGCTTTTTGTCCTTTGTGACTGTGGATTTCATGTGAAGGAGTGCTGCCATGGAGCAGCTCTGTGCTCTGTAGAGGATTTAGGTTTGTGAGAGGCTTTGTTGTGGAAGATTTCATTCTTTGATGCTGCAGCTGTGATTCATATAAACTGCAGATGCTGTGAGGGGAAAAGTATTGCACGTTAAGTGTTCACAGGGTGTTTGCAGGCAGGGTGCAACTGGGAACTCTGCTTATGGTTTTTGCAGGAGTGGAGCCCAGCAGTGTGAGCCTGGAGGAGGCAGGTTTGTGCAAGCTGGGTGTAAGCACTGCAATAAATGTCTGACAATTAAAAACTTAATATCATTCACTAATGAATTGTGCTCCGACAGCAGCTGGAGAACTCCTCTGCAGAAGAGGCCTGGCTGGTGTAGATACGTCACATTCAGCAGTTGGTGGCACTGAACGTGGATTTATCAGTTAAAGAGGGCAGCAGTGTGCTGGGAAGTGCCCAATGGCACTGTGGGGCTGTGCTGCTATGGCCACCTGATGACTCCATGCCCAATGTGTGCAGGTTGAAAGAAAAAAGGCAGCTTTCCTGGCTGCCAGCTTTGCTGGCTCCATCTGGGATCTCAAATCCATGCTGTGCCTTTCCTGACTCTGCTGCTAATAATAAAGGCTCTTCATTTGGAATGGAGTTGCACAGAATTGGTGCTGATGCATGAGCTGGAAGAGAACCCAGCTCGCTTTCCCCGAGACGTGTGGGCTGAGTGCTAAGTGGGAACGGCACTGCTGTAATCTGTAGGGTCACCAGACAACTGAATCCGTGCAGATTTGTGGAGGAAACAGAAGATATTGTGGTGTAACAAGCAAGCTGATCACACTGCTGCTTAAAGAATGCTGGGAAGCAGACTGGGTTTGGTCAGGTTGTGCTGAGCTTTGTTCTGTGTGGTTAGGAGATTTTTCTGCAAATCTGGGGAAATTACATTTAATATAACATGGCATGATCTCCTTCTCCATCCTTCTGGAAGTGCTGACTGCCCCATGAGTTGCTGTGTTTGTATCAGCACAGTGTGTGTGGTGTGTGTGATGTAACCTTTAATGTCTTTGGCAAATAGTGGCATTAGCTGTCTGTTCCTCTCTGCTTACATCTCCTCCAGAAAGTCACTACCAGCTGAGGTCACACAAACACTGTGCCATGTGGGTGCTTCCTTCTCTGGTGCAGTGAAGGGTCAGTGAAGAAGATGCTGATGCTCCTGTTAGATGGGAGTGGAGCTGGCGTTGTTCCTGGCTGTGCTGGGGGCTCTGGGCAGTGCTGGGGCTCAGGAGATGCTCTGAGCAGTGTTTGCACCACACCACAGCTCACTGCTATCAAACGCACAGGGGAGGAATGCAGGGCTGAGCTGTGCTTGTGGGCATCGTATTGCAGTGCTTGGAAGGATGCAAATGGTGCTCAGCTTCAAGCAAGCGCTGCGTGTGCTGGCAAAGCATTCTGTTTTCAGCTGCTTGCTCTTCACTGTGCCCGTGGGCTCTGCTCGCTTGGTTCCTGGGATGAGCACCCTGCAGCAGGGCTGGTTCAATGAGAAACCCCTCCTTGCAGGGCTCCCTGGGGTCCCCCCATGCTCTCCCGCTCCCTGTTAGCATTCAGTGAAGCCTCCCTTCTCCAGCCCTGCTTCCCACCCAGCCTCAATCTGCAGTCAGGGGAACGCGTGTAGGGAAGCGTGGGTCACCTTTAGGGTGAGTGCTTCTGTCATTTCTTTCCTCCTTGATCCCTTCCCCTTTTTTGGCTGTGAAACACCCCTGTGTCACGCAGGGATTATTTTTGGGCACTGCTGATGAGAATGAGGTGACTTTTCCTGACACTGATTCAGGATTGAAGTCGCACAGCCCAGAGCCCTCATGGTGTCTGACCCCAATGACTTACGGTGGGAAACAGCAGTGAAGACTTTGATGTTTGTAAATCTCAAATAGGATTTTCAAAAGAAAATAGGATCTCCTTTTCCATAAATTGTGAAGCCTCTTTTCCTAAGGTGGTTCCTAAAATGTGGACTTCCTACATCACTTTAATTCACAGCTGTTGAAATGTTTCCTCTAAGAGAATCATTGGGAGGTAATTGTGCAGTCCCTCTCTGATGAGCTGAGCTGCTGCCAGCCTGCTTCTGTCTCTTCTCATTAATGGCATTATTACTTTACCTTTAAAGCCTGCAGTTATGAAACATAACCATAACCCTTTTGCCTCCTGCCTCAGCGTGCAGCCAATTCTGAATTCTGGGTGAGCAGCTATGCTTTAATTTTTAATTCCCCATTTCCACCAAACGAGGAGTGAGAGCATCTCTGTTAGGAAAGATGTGGCTTAAACCTGTAAGTGGGAAACAGCAGCAGAGAAAGGGATTCGGGCCGAATTACCAGGGACAACTGCCTTTGTAAACAACACATGATCTCCCTCCCCCAAAGCCGCCAAATTAGCAGGCTGATTTCCTCACTTGCAGCCCTTTGTGGGCTGCCTGCTTGGCTGTCTGCTCCAGGATTACGGGGGAGCATCTCCCTTATCGTTTTGCACATGCTGCACCATCTGTCCTAAATCTCCCTTTATAGGGTTATGGATTCCAAACGGCGTTTCTTTCTTGGGAGATAACAGGCACGTCTGAAGGATGTCACCAGGTACGGCTGCAGTGCTATTTATGCCTCCAGCCCTTATATTTATTTCTGCCTTCATTCCACAGCCACAGAACTCAGAGCCGTTCTGGTGTCCTACACCCAGAAAACCCTCAGTTACTGGGATGTGTGGAGTCCCTGTGTTCTACCCCGTGTGAGTTCTGCTTGAAGTGGACAAATACAGGGATTACGACTACAAACCAGACACACCCTTAATCTTTTATTGTACATTATAAAATGTTTATTGCTCTGTCTGTATCAGAGGTGTTGACCTCTCCCTCTCGGTGATGGAGGAGTACGTTCTGGCAAGGGATCCGTGGAAGAGACCACGGGTTGGCCTGGAGCCGGCTCAGGGAAGCCCTTCTCGTCCACAAAGCCGGGCGGATTCCTGCTGCCGTCCCAACCCCTTGCGGTCGGTGCTGCGGAGCGGCGCTGGCTGCCGGACGGGTTCCGTGCGGGGACTTTAACTCGGGTGCGGTGTAAAGAGATGAACGCCCTCCTCAGGCCAACCTGTCTGATGGAGCACACAGGATCTCGCCTCATCCCCCTGTGGTTGTGGAGTGGTTTTGTGGAGCAGGTAAATACGGATACCCCATGGCACACTACGAGAGTTCATCTGTTCCATGCGATGCACGCCCAGGCGTCCCAGCAGGGAGGAGACCCGGCCCCTTCCGTGCCCCCCGTGCGTGGAGCGCTGCCGGCCTTCCTCTGCGCCCCCCGACGAGAAGCCGTTAAGAACTGAGCCCTCAGAAAAAGGTCCCTTAGGCAAAAGCCTTCTGCGACAAACGGCCATTGCCACCGAGACCTTGCATAGCAACCGGTATCATCAGTTTTTTTTCTTTCTTTTTTCTTTTTTTCTTTCTTTTTCTTTTTCTTTCTTTTTTTTTTTTTTTTTTGCTGACTGGCTACATCTTGATGGAGTGTTCTCACACTGCAGCTGCTGAGAATGCCACAAAGAAGATGGTTGGATTTACCCTGGAAGCTGAGCAGGAACTTCTGGTGCCCCCTCATCTTGGTCTGTGCCCCAAATGTCTGAGAGGAAGAACAGCACTGTGTGATGGGAGGCAGCAGCGCTGGAACCCGGCTGGGGAGCAGCCAAGGGAGCCCCGCAGCGGGACTGCAGCCCGGGGTGCATCTCTTTCCTTTGTTTCTTACAAACCCCGCCTGTGAGACATTGCACGACGCGTGCCAGTGGAACAAAGCAAGCTGAGAGCACAAAGCAGCGCACGCCTGCAGTGAGCTGCCGTCCGTCCTTCCTGCTGGCTCGGGGGCAGCGCTGGTGAGCAATGCTGGAGCTCACAGCGATACAGCCGAGATGGGGTGACAGTGAGACAGCGCTACAACAGAACATTGCACGTTTCCAAAGATGAGAAAATCGTTCCAGGAGACGGAGTGTGAGGGTGGAGAGCGTGAGAGGCCGCTGCCGTGCAGCGATCCATGAGTCCCGCGCAGGACTGCAGGCAGCAGCTCTCACTGGTGCTTTTCCATCTTGGTTGGTTGGGTTTGGGTTGTTTTGTTTTTGCAGGGTTTTTCCTTCCGGTCAGATGTTTGCAGAGCACAGATAAGGAAGGAGCTGTATGCCATCAAGTGACAGTTGCTGGGTCCCCTTCCCAATCGCTCCATGCTATTTCACCTCCCGGTCGTTGAGGCTCAGAGGCAGAATGTGAGCGTGAGAAGTGGTGTCCGTCAGCAGCGGCTGTTACGCCTCAATGATGTTCACTGAGGGTTTGTTTTTTGGGAACTGGGAGAGAGGAGAAAAGGAAGAGAAGGTGTATAGAAATAGCTGGGGAGGAAAAAAATACCCACGTTGGGTCTGTGCAGTGTGTGTGAGTTCTTACTGTGTAAAAGCACTCACTCCCATCCCCTGCTGGTTGTGAAGAAGGGCCGGTGTTGGCTTGACTTGTGATGGTCTGCTTGTAAGCATGTGTGTGTTAGTGAGCTATCTCTAGTAGTAAGGAAATGTAGTGCAGTGGGTGCTGCTGCCTGCACAGGTGGGGGATGCTCAGGCTGCTAATGGTGCTGCAGTGTTGGCATGCGTGGAAGCGAAGGGGCTTTGCCTTCCTGCATCCCGCTGGGGGGCTGCTGGGAGCTGCTGGGAGCTCCTGCCTGCTGCAGCCCCCGGCACTCACCTTGCTGCGGAGCAGCCCCCCGCCCTGGTGCTCAGGGGTGCTGTTCTCTGAGGCGCTCTTGGCTTTCTCCTTGCTGTTGTTGGGCTCGTTGTCTTTGATGATGTCGTACTGCCTGCAGAACAGGGCGATCACCCCTGGTGGGGAGAAAGCATTAGTGAGCACACAGAGGAGCTCAGTCTGCAGAGCTCTGTGCTTGCCAGCCATCTCTGCCTTCTGGTGGAGATCACAGCATCATCCATGCTTGCTCCTTTCTAACAGAGCTCCTCAGCCCTCCGGCTGCTTCCTACACAAGTTCCTTGCTGAGGTAGTTAGACAGAAGGAGAGGAGCTTAAGGCTAAGTGGGACGAGTGCCTTAAACCCTGTTTGCGTGGCGATAGCACTGCCTGTGTGGTTAGGTGGGATCTTTGCTTTGCAAGCACAGGAGCTCCTGGAATTTGTGGTTGGTGGAAATGTGCCTTATGGCCCTTTCCTCTGGGAGGATCTGGAGCTGGCAGATGCAGAGCAGGCACCCAACCTGCCTGTGAGCAGTGTCAGCCTGGGCCTCCAGCACAGCAGGACAACATCTGCAGGTATGTAACAACGACGGCAGCAGAAGCTGCCAGTGGAAATTTCCTCCCACATGCAAATTAGCACAGGAAGAGGAAAGCAGGGGCAGCTGTGATGAGATGGGAAAGGCTGCAAAATCCCTGATCTCCCCCTCGCTTTGCTTCAAAAGTGTAATTCCTGTCTGAGGGGGATGGTGGTGTTAGTGGGTCCTTCACCGAGATGCTGTTCTGAGCGTCAGGCTGTGCTACAATGGAGATGAATCGGTTCTTCTGTCACTCTGTGTAATTATTCATGATCGTTTTTACTGGCAGGGCACTTAAATTGGGATGTGCAGAGATAAAAGTTGACTTAAATGCCAAAAAGACTATTGGCTGGAGGTTTTTTGTAACCTCAATTTAGGTCTAATTCAGTGATCATCTCCAGCAATAATTGCCTTTCAGTCCCTGCAAATGTGAACAGCAATGCATGATCAACTCGGGACTTTTCCAGTTGTCTTTTATGGGTCATAGATTTGCCCCAGTGCTCATTTTCCAGCCTGGCAGTTTGTTGGGTTGCCTGAGCCGTTCCCCCCCTCCCAGCCCCCCTGGGCGCTCTGTGAGGCGCGGAGCTGGCTCTGCCTCATGAATGTTTGACACCGGCAGGGAGCAGCAGCTGAGTGGCAGCCCGGGGAGGCTGTGGCTCGAAATAGAAAACAAACATGCAAACTGTTTTTTTCCCATCAACTCATGCATGTGATTTCCAAACTGAACGAGCCGAAGGGCTGATGCACAAAGCCAATGGGACTCGGGCCTTTTTCCTCTCCCTTTCTGCTGCCTTAAAGCAATGGAGTGAGGTCTGTCCTGAGCACAGCGTGCTATGAGATCTATTGAAATGTGATCCCAAACTCTCCTTGGAGAACTGTTCTCTATGGAAATGCCGTATCTCTGTACTTGCTACAAAAAGCCATAGTGAGAGATCGTGGTATTGAAGGAGTGCCTCTGTTTGGTGCTCTGCTGGAAGCTCTGCTCCAAAGCGCCCTTTGGGCACTGCTTTCAGTGATACTGCTCACCCTCCTTCCCCACCATCCAGCCTTGCACAGACTTTTCCTTCCTTTTGGTTTATGAGCTCCTGCTAATGTTCTCCCATTTCCTGTTAAATGCTGTTCTGTATGTTTAGTGCAGAATTTTGAGAGGGTCTGGGTTTGCCAGTGTTTGGATGTTGGGAGCCATTTGTTCTTTACGCACTTCCTTTGTTTTAATTGCTTCTGCAGTCAGTTTTAGTGTAAATATAATAGTTGGCATTGAGAGGGGGACTCCTGATGTCTGATGTGTCTGAACTTTGGCAGAACTCGTCAGGGAATTTCTGTTTTGCACGAGAGTTGAAGTCATTATTATGCAGATAATTGCTGTGACCTGCGCTGTCTGAAGGGCTCGAGGCGTCCTGGTGGAGGGCTGATGGCATTAGCATCAGTGCTTCCTGGAAAAATGGAGCTTACAGGATTAGCCATGCTGAATTAGACAATTGGTTCATCAAGTCTATCATCTACGTGGTGCCGTGCCAGCTCAGAGCACTGATTCACCTGATTTCAGCTCCTGGTGTGCAGGGGGAGCACACGCACAGGGCAGGGTGTGACGTGCTTGGACAGAGAGATGGAACTGACCTGCCCACATAAACAACACCACCACAATGATGAGTATTTCCCCTGCACGCAGCTGTTGGTTTTTCTTCGCCATCTCCTTCATTGTCACCTCATCTGCACAGAGGGAAAAAGAGATGATGAAACACCAAACTTTGGCTCAGCCGTGGCCACTGGCTCAGCATCGCGCTCAGCTCACGCCGTGAGCGCAGCCACTGCCCCGTGCTCATCCCTGCTGGCAGGAGATGGAGGGAGGGAGGAGAAGTGAATGGGGATGGGCTGACCCGCACTGCCTGGCTCTGTGGCAGCTCACTCTGCTCTCTGTTGGAGCCGTCTGTGCCTGTCACAAAGCCTTGCATGCTTCAGCAGTTCTCTCCCAGCTCAACACAAGGAGCCAGGCACGGTATTTCTCAGCAGATCTGTGGGGTTCAGGGATGCACTGAGACTTTTTGCAGGGCGTAATGCACCTCCTCGCCTTCAAAGCACTAAGAGGATTACAGCTTAGGCCTCCAGGGAGGGAAGCAGTGCTCCTCTTAGTGCTTTCAGATGAACAGTAATTCTGTGTTTACAGACACCAAACCATTTTGGCAGGAAGAGCCAAGAACTCGCAGCATCCCAGGAACCGTGGCCAAAAGCCCTGCAGCAGGCTGAGCCCTGGGTCGGCAGTAACCCCTGTAGTCCCAATCCCTGTGCTCCCCAGCCCTGCCTGCAGCAGAGATTCTTCCTGTGAGCAAACTTTCCCCATCTGACTTGGCTTAAGGCAAATGAGGGAAGGAGCTGCTGGGCAGGAAGTGCCTGATCTCATCCATGGAGGTACTCAAAACCCAACTGGATATGGTCCTGGACCTCCAGCTCTGGTTCACCCTCTTTGAGCAGAGGTTGGACCAAATGATCTCAGATGGTCCCGTCCAACCTCAGCAATTGAGTGGTTTGGCATCAATTTTTGAAATGTAAGAAAAGTGGCATTGCCTACTTGTAAGAATGCAGGACACTCTGTTCCCAGGCTGGAAACCTCCTTGCTTTGCCCATTAAATCTGAAATAGAGGAGTGGACAGCCAGCCTTTGGCAGTAGTGGCTGCTGACCTCTTAGTGCTATTCTGCTGAAGCAAAGGAACCTCATCTTCATCTTAGATGTATGCGGTTGCTTTCAGTGCTGAGGTGTAACTGCATCAGTGCTCACACAAGACGTTTATGCTGGGCTCAGCTCTGACAGCAGTGCAACCTCCGCATCTCATTGCCTGCTGGGAATGCTCAGAGCATCCCTTGTGTCTGTGTGGGGCTGTCAGAGGGCCCTCAACCCTGTGTGCAATTAACCCAGCTATCCTCATTGCACGGGGTCCTTCCTTCCTCCCTGCAGAGCCCTGCGCTGTCTGGGGGCCACATAGGAACTCACCCACACTTGCCTTTATTTTTAGAAGCCAGTTTCTCAGCTTCCCTGGGGGTCTTGAAGAGGACTGGCTCACTGGCAGGGCTCTGGCCTTGGATGCTGATGGCCTGGACATGCACAATGTACTCAGTGTCCTCCTCTAGGTCCCAGAGGGCACAGGAGCGGGTGGTGGTGTTCACCTCCTGGATGAAGCGCAGCATCCGCACGTCCTTCTTCTGGAAGCCGAGAGAGGAGAGCACAGAGTGGCGGAGGGACCTCCTGTGTGCACTGCTGGTGTCTGAAACCACTGCTTCCTGCCCTGTCCACCATGGGCACGGAGACCTCTGCAGCGAGCGGCCACCGAGCGCTGCTGCAAGGAGGGTGGGAAACGAGTTCCCCACACAGACCATGGGACAGGGCGAGAAGGAATGGGCTCACACTGAGATGAGAGAGTTTGGAAACCAAGGGGACCTGGGGGAAAATGAATGTGACCGAAACTGGGGAACCGTAGGCATCCTACCTGCTGGGAAATGGCAAATCCGATGACAACCTCGTCCTCCAGAACGTCCCAAGTCACTACGGCTGAGTTGGCTTTCAGGTGTTTGACTGTGACGTTGACCGGAGCCGATGGGCTGTCTGCAAGGAGGGACACAGAGCTGCGGCTGAGGGCAGGAGATGGAGAGAGGGCAAGGAGTGGGGAGGGACTGGGGGGAGCAGAAGGAAATGTGAGGTCTGGCTGTGGTCTGAGGCATGAGAAACTGAGCTGCAAATGGCCTTCCTGCCATTTCCGTGAGAAATGGCAGATCCCTGTTTTAATTACCAGCAAGGCTCTGGAGCTCTCTGCTGAGGTGGCATTGGGCACATGGAATATCTGCACACACACACACACCCCAAAACAATCTGAGGATGTCTGAGCGTTGATGAGCTCACACATCTCCTCTCTCTCAGCCACGTGCCGTGTTTTCTCTGCTGCGTCCCATTACAGTCTGACAGCGACAGCTGGGAGGAAATGCAGACTCTGGGAGGCATGAAAGCAGAATGAGAGCTCTGGAGGTTGGAAATTCAGTGGTAGTAAATAGGAGCGTTCTTTTTGCTTTTCCTCGTGAGTTTGTCAGAATTTTTTTATACACGGTTTTGTATTTTGCACGCAGCTGATGGACTCTCTCAGATGGTCGGAGGACTTTCCCCACCTTCCCACCAGCCACTCTCTGCTCCCAGAACAGCACACACTGCAGCAGCCCCTGATGGACTGCTGTGATGTGGAAGGGCTGGGCCATGAACCAAAGGTGGTAAATGCCACCCAGATTGCTCACAGCCCAGGAGGTCAGTATGGTGAGAATGGGCCGTATTTCCTTGCATCAAAGAGTAATGCTTCTGTTTTTAACCATTGCACAGTGCTGCCCTTCTGAGGTCGAGGTCAACCCCATCAGAAGGAGACGTGTGCGCATCTCCAGTGGCACTTGTTGGGTTTATGGTCAGCCCTGGATGCCTGAATGTGGCTGAAAATGCTCCAGCCGGAGCCTCAGTGCCAACTGACAGCTGACCGCGCTCCTGGTGCGCGTTGCCTTGGGAAGAGGGAGAATAAGGGAGCGTGGGACACCTCAGAGGTCAGCGCCGCTCTCTTAGCAGAGCAGTGGTGATGTATCGCTGCCTTCTCTCCACAAACAGCACCTGGTGCACCCAGTTTGCAATGAGACCCCAAGGATCACCCCGACGCTGCTCCCTTCCCAGGGCAGCTCCTCTCCATCCCCATCCCCACGTGCTGACCAGAGGACCATCTAATTTTAGCAGGGGGCGGTCAGCAGGCGGAATGCACACGGGAAGGGCTGTGAGTCATGGCTGATGAATGTGCTGGAACGCATGGAGGGTGCGGTGGGGCTGGAAGGTGACAGACAAAGCAGTGGGGCTGCAGCCTCGCCCCGCTCCCAGCGCAGCTGTGCTGCTAAATCCCAGCAGGGTCGCCTTGCCGGGGTATTTTTAGGAGGAGTCACCCAGTGTGGGGGTTGAGGAGGGCTTCGGAAAGAGAAGAATTAACCTTGTGGGGAGCAGGGAACAGAAGAAGCTTCACGTGGGGAAAAGGGAACGCAGTGCAGCGCTGCGTCCCCGCTGAGATGTGTGACCTTGGGGGGGGCACAGCACAAAAAATGCCAAAGTTTCTGTCCTGCTGACAGAGCGTGGGGGAGGTGGGAGTTTGCAGCAAGGTGAAAGAGGAGCCCTGGGGAGGTGGGAAGCAGTTGGCAGAGCCGCGGCCGATGCCTGGAGCCTGCGGAGCAGAACGGGGCGCGGGCAGCAGCTACAGCTGGGAGATAACAGCAATATCCAGATCTCTCCTTCGCTACTACAGAGCAGCAGCAGCTACACATAAATCAGAGGTGTCAAATCAGTACAGCTATATGAGAAGAGAATGCAGCGCGGTGTTTGACAGAAGTACAAAGCCAGGAAGATGAGTTCCCTGCTCCCAGAGCTGAATGAAGAATTGGCGACCAAAAGTCCAATCCGTGAGGATGCTCTTCTCCCGCTGCCAGGAGCTGTGTGATGAGATCACGACTTCCCCAGATCTGATCGCTGCTCTGAGCTGCTCTGCCAGCCGTGGCTCCAGCTGTGCCCACGGAGCTGAGCGCGGTGGTTTCAGTTTCCCTGCTGGATGCAGAGGGTTGGTGCCTCCCGCAGGGCCGTGGGCTGCCAGATCCAAAGGGTTTGTTCCTTTTTGCCTTGCTGTGACTCCTGGGAGCTGTTGCTGTGTGGGGGCAGTGGGGTGGGCAGCCCTAAGGGCGATTCCTTTCCTGTCAGCAGGGAGCACACCGTGCATCAAACCTCCCTCCTGTGTGTTTACTGAGTGCCCCTTCCCTGCCTGCTCCATACAGAACTCATGGTGCAAGATTTCTGGGTTAGCAGTGCAGCATCACGGCTTGGGGCCTGCAGCGCCTTCTGGAGCAAATCATGTGCTGCAAGAAGTCAGAGCGTGGCCCGTTTGGGGCTGGAGCTGCATGCTTGGCTGAGGAGATGCTCTCAGTTTCATGTCACACATCCCCCTGTTGTGATGGGGCCGTGACTGACTGATGTGAAAACGAGGTGTTTTAGTGAGGAATGGCTGCTTCACAACTGATCTGCTTTGCCTGTGCCTTGTTTCCCTTCCACAAGGAACCTCTGCGAGGCCCTTCAGCAGGTGTGGGTTGGGACCACCTCTGTTCTGTGAGGAGGTGTGAGAGGCAGAGATTACCCTTAATCCTTTCTTAGTGCTGGGAATTCCTTCTGGCCTTTCATTAAACGCTCTGCTGATTGTTAATGGACTTTTATTTGGGAGAGAGGGGAAAAAAAATCCAACACAACTACTTCAGAGCTTTGGGTTGATTCCTCCCTGGCTTTTTGCTGTTGGTGCAACACAAGGCACAGCAAACCAGCCACCTGTGCAGGGAACGCCTGCCCTCATGCTGACTGCTGCAGAGCTGTGGTGGGACACGTCTGTCCCCATCCCACTGCTGCCACATCTGCTGCTTGTGAGCTTGGAAGTGCCTGGAGTCAAAAGCTTCCTCGTGGGCAGGGCCAAGGCGATGGACACGATGTATGTTCATTCACTGAGCCCCCCTTCCCCATGCAGCTCCTTTGCTGTTGTGCACAGAGGGATCGCATCAGCCATTGGAGCATCGCCCCGGCAGCTCTGTGCTCCTGCACTGTGACCTCTCTGCAGACAGAGGGATGGGGGGTGCAACCTACAAGGGGAAGGAGCATCGCTATGGTCTGGAGTGATGCTCTGCAAAGCACCACTGCCCGCCCATCGAGTGTGAGCACAAAGCCCTGCTTTTACTGCATTCAGAGCCGCTCTCTGCTCTCCCAGCATGGCTCCCTTCACTGGATGTAATTGCTTGTCAGCTTTATGGGGTATGTAGGCAGGCTGGTGCGCCGTTCAGCTTCCCTGAGTGCTTTAATGAGGAGAGCCTGGGGGGCAGTGGGAGGGAGTGGGGCACAGCGCAGCCCTGTGCCCGGTGAGCGGGGCTGTGTGGGAGCACTGCAGCCTCGGGGAACACAAAGAGCAGCCCCTGCTGCCTCCATCTGGGACAAAGGGAATTATTTCCTGCTGCTCGCCCACTCCTCATGCAGACAGCACGTTAGCAGGCAGCCCCAGCTGTGCACCTGGTGGTGATGCTCGCCGTGCTCAGCCTTGGGGATTGCTCTGGGTGGGAGGAATGGGGCACATCAGCTCGTGGTCATCGCTACCCTGGTGAATGTTGGTGCTGCCCAACCTCTGTCTGTATCCCAACTCAATGCTGGGTCGTTGTGGTATTTTATCTGGGCACCAGACGTCCCGGCAGCGTTTGGTGCTGTGGTGTGGCAGCTCAGTGCAGCTGTGTGACATCAGAGCAGTGCTGGCAGTGGGGTGGCCAAACACCCCGAGTTTTGTACCCAGAGCTCTGGCTGCTCCCATGCCCAAAACCTGGGTTTTTACTGCATGCATAAAGATCTGCGTGTTTCACTGCTGCACGCATTTATGCTTTTAATTGAATTATGCTTGAGTCAGATCTTAATTTGGCCTCTGGGTGCTCTATAAGACAGGAGGGGTTTATTAAACAATCAGTGCCAAATGAGGCCACGCACAGCACCAGCACACGGGCACAGCCCCATGAAGGTCTGAGTCCTGCCATGGTGCTGTGCACGGTGTGTGTGCAAGCAAAGTGCTCTGCAGGAGCCCTCTCTGTCCTCCCTCTGCACATTCCCAGCAGGAGACAGCACTCAGAACAAGGCAGCACAGCATCATCCCTGCTGGGAATCTGACACTGGGGTCAGAAACCTCCACATCGAAATTAAATCTCTCCTACACTGAAAGCAGAAATCAATACAGTGCTTACGCCACTCGTCAGCTGGCCAGGAATCTCTGTGGCCCTTGGAAGCTGGGAAGGGGCTGCAAAGAAGTGCTGGAACTGCTGCTGTGCAGAGCTGCTGTGTCGATCCTGCACGTGGCCTGGCTGCACCTGGGGCTCTGGGCTGGAGCTGCACTGGGGCTGAAGCCTTTCCTAGTCTGGTTGGTCGTAGCTTTCCCTCCACTCCACAGAAATCACTCTGACCAAAGCTGCTCTGTAGAGATGCTGTTTGCCCTGCAAAGCTGTTGGGATGAGGACTATTTTGAGTCCTCTCCCCACTGCTGTGCAGCATTCCCCTGCTGTTCCTGCTGTGCAGCCCCACACCTCCTTCTTCCACAGCCCTGCTGCCTCAGCCTTGAGTTCTGCCTTTTGCCAGCCCCGCAGTGCCAGAAGGGGACTTCACACCATTTCCCTGGGTCACTGCGGGGATGGCAGCTTTCAGCCTTAACGGTGCATTCTTTGACAGCTGCCTGTGGGACCTCTGGGTGCAAGGGAAGGAGAGCTGAGCCCTGCTGAGGCTGGGTGCCCCTCCATGAGTCTCCCTGATGCCTCTCGGCTCACTCACCTCAATGGCCTCATGGCCACATGCTCAGCTGGTGCTGCGGCCACGGAGCCGATGGGGACACTGCCACCACCTCTGTGTGACCTTGGGATGACCACATCATGCCCACGTCCCTTTTGTCCCTACCTGTACCCCCAGCTCATGGCCCCTACAGAGCTGGGAGGAGCAGCCCCAAGGTCACACAGCTTCACACACCCGGAACCTTTGGGGTCACATCCCCACTGCACAGTGCAGTCACCAGCAGGGCTGCACTGCCCAAAACCTCACAGGGACCCAATGGCCACGGCCACTGCTGGGGAGACACAGGCAGAGGTGGTGATGGGCAGAGGCACAGCTCTGTGTTTACTCTCCATCACTGGCTGAGGTGATTCAAGGATAAGGAAGAGCAGGGGAAGTGTCCCAGTTTGCAGGAAATCAGGAAGGCCAATTGCAGATGCACTCCTTTCTCCATCATTCTCTCCTTTTAGGAATGTTTTGTTCATCTCCCCATGTCCAACCCTTCAGCATGCTGACATCTGGCCAAGGCATGTCAAACCCAACAGCATCCTGAGGGGATCCCGCAGCCCCAGTGTGGGTGGGCTGTGGGTGGCTGTAACCCCACAGCTAACAGAGCCACAGAGCACAGGAATTGCCACTCCCTGGAGCCGTGCGTGGCTGACAGTCACCCACAGCCTCCGGGAATGTGAACTATCCGGGCGTTCTGCAAATCAAAGCAGCTGCTCCATCAGACCCCGCAGCCTCCGTGCCGAGCAGACAGAGCTGGCAGGGCCGGGGCCGGGGTGCTGAGGGCTCACGGGCAGCTCCCAGCAGCGCTGCTGAGACGTGGCACTTGCTGGGCACTGAGGCGAAGGCACAGCTTGGCTGGAGCAGGACCCGAGTGTTTCCTGCTTGTGTCAAAAACAGGACAAACCCCCGGGGACCTCCATCCTCCCCAGAGGTCCCCTTGGAGGACCCAGTCGCCTGGGAGCTCATAAGGCCGGGACGGTCCGCGCCCCACAAGATCGCTCAGAGGGGCTCTCTGGTGCCGACACGCGTGGGCACCGCGCCGCCGCTCCGCCCGCTGCTCCGCTCCGTGAGCCGCAGCCGCAGGGCCGCTCCGCACCCGGTAACCGACGGCGTCCCGGTGCCCGACTCCCCCCACGACCGCGCTTCCCCCGCCGCTCCCCGGGTCCCGGCGGCCGTTACCTGCCTCCACCGGCCGCAGACCGGCGTAGCTGAAGCAAAGCAGGAGCGCGGCGCCGGTGCAGCCCAGGAAGGGCTCCATCCCCCGCGGCCGCCGCGCCGCGCCGGGCCGAGCCGCTCCGGGCCGGCGTCCCGCGGGCGCGGCGGCGCCCTTCAGCACCGCGGAGAGCTCCGGGGCCCGGTGCCGGCGGGGCCGCCCGGTTCGGCCGGGGGCGGCTGCGGGGCTCGGCGGCCCTCGGCAGCGCGGCTCGGTTCGGCTCGGCTCGGCCGGGAGGCGGCCCCGCCGAGCCCCGGCTCCGCCCGCTGCAGCGCTGGGCAGCCCCGCTCCGGTCCCTCCCCCGGCCCGGGGGCGGCTCGGCCCCCGCCCCGCCCGGCCCCGCCGTCTGCCTCAGTTTCCCCCCGGCGGGACCGGGAGCCCTCGGCCCGAACCGCCCCGGGACCGCTCCCCATAGCTGGAAGGAGCAGACGGGGCCCGTCCCCGTGAGACCCCCGGCGGGTGCGTGGCAGCGGTGACATCTCACCATCAGGGCTTCGTGCAGCCCCTGCGTGTCACTGGGCTCTAAGGTCGGAGGTAATGAGCATTAGATGAGCTGTTCTAATTAGCTGTGCCTTTGGGTTAATTAAACTGTCAGCGCTCTGGCTTATGGTGATCTGCTGCAGGAATCTGCTCAGCCACCGTGCCGCGTGGCACTGCGTGGCACCAATTGGGCCTCACTGAGCCCTGTGTGCTCTCAGCTGCAGCCGTCACTGTGTCTGACCCCACCGTGTGTCGGGCAGCATCCCCCAGGCTCTGCCTGGCACAGATATCTCTCCTGCACTGCTGTGAGCGCAGCGCGGCTGGTGGGCTCCCGGGAACATCTGCATGGTCCTCGTGGTTGCACCAAGCACAGTCCTGATGGATTGAAATAGAAGAGCACTATCTCCCTGCTCTGCACACAGTTAGCACTGCGTCCCCCTCCTCATCCTCCTGATGTGAGGCTGGGCCCATCCTCCCCAGCACAACTGCCTGCTCCCTGCAGCAACGCCTCCATTGCTCCATTGCCGGGCACAGGGTTGAGCAGAAGCAGCACCACGTGCAGCTGCAGTCAGCTCCATCTGCCTGCTGAGACACGAAGTGGCGATCGCAGCTCCCAGCACTGGCATTTCTCTGCCTTCATGCAGGGACTCCCAAATCCCCAAACAGCTGCGTGGTGCAGGGATTGTTGCCCACATCTCCCAGCAGAGGCTGATCCAGACAGAGCCGCTGCAGCAGGGAGCAGTGAGGCACAGCTGGGGGAGGTGGGGAGCGCTTCTCCAACCAGGGGCACACAGGGACTGCTCCCAGCCCTGCTTCAGCCACTCAACTGCACTCAAACTCTCTGCCTGTAATACAGCCAAGGGATTCCCTGCAGCCCCCAAAGGAAGGAGCCACCTAGGCAATGAGCCCCAGATGTTCCCCCTCACCCAGCACCAGGAGGCTCCTGCAGGAAGGCTGTGATGTGTTCTGGTATTTTTCCAGGAGCTGAAGACTGCATGGTTGCCTGTTTTTTTCCCTGTTTTTCCCTGTTTTTTCCTTCCCTCCCTTTCCAAATACAGGAACAACATTTGCTCTTTCCAACATCTGCCACCTTTTGTGGGTTCCACTGCCACCACACAGCGCTGCTTCCATCCCTTTGTCCCCTTTCCTCTTCCACCAGTGGGGAGGAATTTGGGGTGCTCCGGCTCTGCTGCCTTTAGCTCTGTTTCCACAGAGCTTCCTCAGCCCCCCCAGCCCCAGCACTGCAATATTCAAATCACGCGACGCTCATCATGTCTTCAGTGCAGCAATTAAGTCACTGCTCTAATTAAGCATGTAAGCACACAACGCACTCATCTTGCATCTCGATGGACACCAGGGAGGCCGCGGCCGTCCCTGTTCTGTTCCAGCTCGGGACTACAGGAGCTGCCCACTGCGGTGCTGCAGAGCGGAGGGGCATCTGTGCACGGGGAGCCGTAGTCGGGGTGCTGCACATCTCGGGGTGCTGCACATCTCGGGGTGCTGCACATCCGGGGGTGATGCGCATCTGGCAGTGCTGCATCCCGGAGGATGCCGAGCACGGGACAGCCTTTGTCTCCTGATGATGCTGCCCGGTAAAGGGCTCTGCGCATCGCGGAGGGATGGAGCGGCGCCCCGGGGCCACGCCGCGCACCGCCACGGGCCGCTGCTGCCACCTGCCGGCACCCGGTACCGGGCCCGCCCCGCGCCCACACGTGACCGCCGGTTCTTAGTCACGGGGGGGAGCGGGGGAACGCGGGGGGCGCCGGCTGCGAGCTGCGGGGCGTGAAATCCCCACCCGAACCCCTGCGGCGGTGCCACGCTGGACCTGGAGCTCCCGAGACGCCCCAGAGCGGGGCGAGGCGCCGCCAGAGGGAGCCCGAGGGACGCGTGGAGGTGGCGCTGGTGGTAATGGTGGAGTACTGGTGGTCCTGGTGGCACTGGTGGTGGTACAGGTGGTGGTACTGGTGGCACTGGTGGCACTGGTGGCACTGACGGCGATGTTGAGCACCTCTGGCCCTTGGGAGCTTTGGGGGAAAGGACGAATCCAAGCCCGCAGCCCTGTCGGTGCTCTTCCTCACCCCGCAGCCCCCCTCCCCCGTCCGTGCACACTGCTGGGATGGCAGTGGCACCTCCCAGCCCTCCGGCCCAGAGCTGGCGCTGAGTGCAGCCCAACCGCCTGCAACACTGAGCCCCGAGGTGTGGAGGAACGGGGGCAGGGTGGAGCCGGGAGCCCCCACCGCTCCTGCAGCCCCTGCTTGGAAAACCGGGCGCCAAGAACCCACAGCTCATGCATTCCTGCCCTGCTGTCACTGGGATCTGGGGGTCTGCTTGTGCCCACGTGCCCCAAAACACGTCCCTGCCCCGTGTCCCAGCACACCTGAGCACGTGTCCCACTGCCATCACACGTGTGCCCCTTGGGAACTGGCACACGGCCCTGGGAGCCCCGACCTCAGCCGTCCGGGCAAGGTGAGTGCCCTGGGACAGCCCCGGGACATGGGGTGGGGACATGGGGACATGGGATGAAGCCACTCTGTTACGAAACGTCTCTGCATCCCCATGGCTCTAAGTCAAGATTTAGTGAGAGAGCGGCTCCTGATCCAGATGAGATTGGGCATCACAAAGGGCTTTGTATTCCAGGAAGCCTATTAGAGATTTAAATTATACAAATGGGCTTTTTACCAAAGATCCTCATTATCTGGGTATTTGCATTTAATCCTCAGCTATCCCTGCAGCCCCGGCCCTGTGCTCTGCTCACCTTCACTGCGTCCTCCAGGGCTGAGCAGAGCGATGGGATACGATGAGCTGTGGGGTCAGCAGAGGCCAAGGGAAGGGGAAGGTGGGGAATGGGACAAGGCAGGGAAATCCTACAGAACAGGAGACGGAGGAGCAGGAGGAAGGGGGGATCCCATAATGTCTCTCCCCAGTGAGGGGCTGGCATAGCAGCAGAGCCTGTGGTCATCTCTGCCTCCTCTTCCTTGCGGTGTCCCACAGTGCCTGGGAGCTGCAGGGAAAAAGCAGGGAGTGCTGGGGATGGAGGAATGGGGTACAGAGGGGAGGGAATGGAGCCATTGAGCCCCAGCCCAGGGGCCTTGTACACTGCAGGGGGTTTGATAGTACAGCGTGGTCCTGCCCACACACCGCATTATCCTCTCCCTCCTGTGATCCATTTCAGTGTGGGGATTAGGTGGTTTTAGGACCGGGTTTGAGTTAAATGGGATGCTTTCAAATCATCCTGCGTCAGTTGTGCCCTCTGTCACTCATACAGAGGGGGATTAAAATAGATATGAAGATTATTGGAGGGGAAAAGGCACCCCCACCTGCAGGGTGCTGCCAGCAGCACCCAGCACACAGGGAGCCTTTATTTATGCCACTATTTCCTTCTCTCCCTCACCTTGCTGCTCACACCAAAGCCCCATTTCCAATCCTATCTTTTAGCTCTTTCCTTTCACCTTTCCCGTATGTCCTGCTGCTTTCATCACCATTTTCTTGTTACCAGCCCAGACCCATCCCACAGCACCCTTGAGCTCAGTGCTCACGGCTATTAAAAAGGAGAGAAGAACACTAAGAAATCAATCTTGCTTTTATTATCAGCAGTTGCTTCTTCCTGCAAGGTCCCCATGTGGTGGTGGATGTGTCCCCAGCCACGGGTTGGGCTGTCCCTCACAGATCCAGGGAAATGGAGCCCCAACTCCCTGCCTGCACCCTTCTCATACAGGGCTGTGGATTTAATCACTTTATGCATATTTATTTGTGTAATTCGGAGAAGAGTGCCTCTTCCTCCCATCTGCCCTCACCATCTGCTCCCCGCGGTGTTTCGGAACAATCCCAGGCTTTGCCAATTGATGGAGAGGTGCAGAAAGGCAGGAAAACCCGTGGGGATGTCGCTCCGTCTGGGCAGCAGTTGGCTCTGCGGGTGCCTTTTCCTGGTGCAGAGGCAGCTGATGGAGGCCGCTTTGCTCCATTGCCTGAGCACTGACCCCTGAGATGTGCCCACCCCCGGATCCCACCCCAAATGTCCCCTTTTTACCCCAAAGCACCTCGCTGGGCACCACTTGGGCCAGCAGTGGGGTGATGGAGAAGCCCAGGAGTTGGCGATGCACAATAGGAGCTGCCTGTGGCCTCCAATTCCTCCATCGCTGTGGGGTTCTGGGGCTGCAGCTCCTTCCGAAGGGATGGGGGGGTTGGCAGATGAGCTGGGAGGGGTGGTGGAGAGAGCGGTGCCCCAAAGAGAGGGCCGTGCACAGGGGCTGTTTGTGCTCTTGTGCAGCCCCATCCCATCCACCATGGAGCAGAATCGCACCCTATGTGACAGCCGAGTGATTTTTACAAAAGTGCCCTTGAAAACCTCTCCAGGGCCACCTTAAAGCGCCCACCTGGGGCTGCAGGCACCTGAGCCACTGATGGGCTCCCAGCAGTCCCAGCGCTCCCAGTACCGGTCCAGTACTGTGCCAGCTCTCGCAAGAGCAGCCCAAAGCTGTGGGTTCGGCAGTGCCCGAGGGGGGGGGTGCGGGGCTTCGCGGCGGGTGGGGCAACCGGGGGCGGGCGGGGGCTGACTGCAGCCGGTG